GCAGGAAGTCAGAGAAGGAGAGAATTGTACTTGCTGTTTTTTCTATCCAAAGAGAATACAAATGATTAAAGGAAATACTACCAGGATGAGATGAAGAAGAGGGCAGGCAAACAGCTTTCATAATAAGAGAGAATGCTATTACAGCTTGTGGTACCAGGCAAGCAAGCTTATGGGTTGGTTGTTTTTTTTGTGAGCCATTCTATTCATATGAGAGAGCTCTGAGGACAGAAAGAAGAAGGAGCAGAGCATGATATGAAGCAAGCTTGTGATGTTACATGTAAATGCTTGTTGTTCAACCCCTTGCTTAATTCTTTGTATCATGCCCTGTGACGTGGAGAGAGCTGTGCTTACCTGCTCTTTGTGTTGTGTTGTCAGCAGGAGGAATCAGCCGTGTCATCGCAGGGCCACGAGTGCCACTGCAGCCACTATGTGTGAGCAGCGCGGTGCCGTAGGCGTGATGGCATGTGCGGTCTGCACAGAAGCAGAAACATGGAAAACAAGAAATGCCAGAGATAAGAAAAGCTTCAAGTCACTATGCACATATTTTTCAGTAGGCAGATACAGTACAAAATGCTGTTATTAATCACTGTACACCCTTTTGCTTTGAAGGTGGTGGGTGGACAACCTGAAACATTCAGAAGAAAGTGGTTTTTCAAAGGAACTGAGTTTCCAGAGCAGCCACTCAGCATTTGCATGATTCTGAGACTGGAGTTTTATCAAAGAACAGAAAACTATTTCCTCTTTAAGCATCCCTTGCATGTCTGTGTTTTGTGTGTCTGGCCTTTCTTATCAAGCAGCAACCGTGCAAAATCCCTTTTATATTTTTTCACTGCCTGGATATTCAGAGTAAGATGCTCATGGGAGAGCAAACTGTTATCTGGTGTGCTTGTCTCACTTGTTGCTCTTTTTTTTGTGTTCTGTTTTGTTTTGTTTCCCTGCTCCCACATACCTGTGGAAGAGCATTTTTAAATCTAAGCCTGTTTTTAAAGCAGCAAGTCTTCTCATTCACAGCTCTTCATTTCGGCTGAAACTCTGTCCAAGAGCTGGATCTTGTCTGACGAAATCATAATCCTGGCCTGTAGTTTGTTGTCCTTTTTCAGCTGGGGCTTCATAAGAGGAATTCAGGGAGCCTGATGAAAGCCAAGTGAATTATTCTTTTAGTTCTCTCCCAGACATCTTTCCCGAGGCATGCAGCCATTTTCAATCACCAGATTGAGTACACAGCTGTCATACACTGAAAATGTAGCTATTTCCAATTGTGTGATTCGACACGGATCCATAATGTAAGATAGCAGTGCCAACAATTCAGTATTGTGGTGGGTTCATATACAGCCACATGGCAGGGAAGGAATCGCAGCCTCTCCAGAGCCTACAAAAGCAGCAGGGTGACCATTTATCTGAAATGTTCTCCATCTGCAGATGGTGAGAAACAGTCTAGACTGTTTCCCCGTGATAACCTTAGAAAAGTGGCGAGTAGCAGTTGCCAATGCAGTCAGCAAGGAGGGCTGATTGCCTTGGGCTTTTGTGCCATATGTTAAGTGTGCTTTGTCTCATTTGTTATCTACATATAATAGTTGCAGTGCTGATTTCTGTTGAGGTAAATGTCAACATTAAGAAAAAAAGGATGATAATTCAAAGTTTTGAGTTTTTGTCAGAAAACGTAGTATTAAAAAATGAATATTTTGAAAAGGAAAGTAATTACATTAGTACGGCTAGCTTGCATTTGCAGGACCATAGAAACGATAGGCGTATTGTGTTTGGAAGGGACCTCCTGAGGTTCAGTGGTCTGCTTGGCTCCTGCTTGAACCATGCTGAATGTCAAGGCTACATCAGGTTGTTCAGAGCCTCATCCCATTGCGTGTCACGTACCTGGCCAGGTGGCATTTCCACAGCCTTTCTAGGCAGCCCATCCCAGTGCACCGCCAGTTTCTTCATAGGACTTTTTCCTTCTGTCCTGTTGGAATTTCCCATATTGCCACCTGTTTCTATTCCCTGTTGTCCTTTCACTGTACCTTTCTTTTCAATCATTGCCTTTCAGGAAATGGAGTACAAGTAAATCCCCCCTTTGCCTTCCATCTCAGAGGTTTTCCCCTGATCTTTCTGGATTCTCTCCTGTGCTGGATTCTCTACCTGTGTGACCTGGTGTAGGGAACCTGCTTTGGCAGGGGAGTTGGACTCGATGATCTCTGGAGGTCCCTTCCAACCCCTGCAATTCTGTGATTCTGTGATTCTGGTGTTCCCAGGCTGGTCACTGGTCTCCAGATGTGGGTGTGAGTGCTGAGAAGAGGGGAATAATCCCTTGTGCCCTGGTAATGTGCTTGTTACTGCAGCACTGCACATGCTCAGCCTGCAGCATTCCCTGAGTGCTCTGCCGTCCTCAGCTCTTCTTACCATCTGCCAGGTCTCTGGGTCCTGATTGTATCACAGATTGACACCCAGTTATGAACTGGGTGGTTCTCTGTACCTGCCGTTGGGTGTAAAGTACTGAAAAGTGCTCAGTGCCTACAGAGCACCTGAGTACTGCCAGAGGCAGAGTCCTGAATCCCAGCTGCTCTTTGGGTGGCACTTATCAGTAATTGCATGCACTGCTGGGTGCACCCACTGTGGACATGAGCTTAAAAAGGGGAACTCTGGCTGTTATCACCCAGAGGTTTCGTTTTCCTTTCAGCTGTTTACCTGCTTGTCGACATGCTTTTCATGCTGACTCTGTTTTGGTTACTTTATGGTAAAACCCTCAGTCAAGGGTTTATTCTCCTTTAAAGGAAGTCTTGGGAATGCCATCTATCGTATGTTAACCGGCTGTTGCCCTGCAGGGCTCTAGGAACCTATTGCCCGCTGGTTCCAGATGTGAGGGGTTTTCCTGCACGAATGCTAAGAGCGTTGTTGCAGGTATTTATTGCAGCACCCAGAGGGCAAGGCTGTCTCTGGGCTGTCCCTGCGTGTCTGACTCAGGAGTTGTTATGGTTTTGGTGCTGAGGCCTGTAAGGAGGGTCACAAACTGAAATGTCTGAGGTTGCACCCATCCCGGGCATGGAGTCAAAGCTGTACAGCAACAGAAAGAGGGGAACAGCATCACAATTTTGAAAAGCTTTATTTTCTCTTCAGCAGGAGAGTGGTATAAATATCCTAAATCTGTGAGGGCTTGCAGCTCTCGTTAAATACCATCTGATCTAAAATTCTGTGTGCTGCTGTGGAATGCTTGTTTCTTATGCTTCTCTCTGAAAGGTTTTTACAGTTTTTCCAATGTAATCATTTTAATCCCACGCAGACATTTTGAGCTATTAATACTTCATTTTTTGGGACAGAAGCAGTATTCCTTTGCAGTTCACCTTTGTGACTAAATTCAGCTACATTTACATTGTTCTCTAGGAATCTGTGTTAAAGAGAGAGGTTTCTTAATGCCCTCAGAAATCAGCTCCTTCTGCATGTGTGCTGAGAAAGTTAGCTCTGGTTTTTAAATGGATGTATTTCCCTTGGCTGCAGAGGGGACACTTGTGGCTTCTCAGTCTCATCTTGAGAGAGTAACAATGTTGGGTTGGCCGTGTTGGGTTGGCCATGTGTAGCTCCTTGCTATCCTAAAAACGTCTTCAGTTTAAATAGCTGATAATAATTTATGAAGTCTCTCAGTTTATTTTTTTTAAGCTGTAAAATAAAACTCCCAATCTTGAACTCGGAGTAGAATAAGAAAAAACATGAATGACAGTTTGTGAGTGGTAATGTGTTCAGAAATGAAAGACATTTGTAGGATCAACAAAAATGTCAGCAAAGGGTATTTTTGCTTTCTCAACCACTGTGTGAGATGGCACTGAATTGTTCTGGCTGTAGCCCACTTGGATCACTCTGCAGTTCACAGCTTGAAAAAGTCAAGTGCCCGTAAGTAGGTTAAATTTACAGGTGATTCAACAACTCCAGATCATGGATTGGAACAGAAAAGTGTATATTTTCAGGAAACAAGTATTTTATAGTAAATGTTCTGACCGAGTGAAATTCCCTTATAAAGCTGTGCCAGCAAGCTCTGTCTGATTTTTGGAATGGTTTTGCTGGTCTTGGAGATGGAAAGCAGCTTGGTATTTACACCACCTGGAAAGAATTAGATTCCTGTGGCTGCCTGGGTAGTTGGTGAGCAGAAAGAGAATCGCTTGACAAATCAGGTCCATGTTTGTACGCGAGTACAGGCTCCCATCAGTATTTTATTCCTTTGAGGCTTTTAATTCGCGTTACATCTGAAAGGAGAAACTCTGCTCATAAGTAGAAACGCTGCCCGTAGGTTTTGTCTTGACCTATTGCAGGGTTTGCATCCCATGGGAGCACCGCAGGGACCCAAAAGGATCGGTCTGTTCTGATTTCCTTCATCAGTGTGAGCCTTGGTGTTTTATTTACCCCACGATCGCAGTATTTACTTTGATGACTTCCGATGCATAAAAAATACATTTTTAGAGACTGCTGTAGATTTAGAGTCAACGAGGAAGGTTACCCTGTTTGATAATTTGAAGTCATTAATTGTGGTTAGAAATGAATTTTATTTCCTGTGCAGACATTTGTATTTCAGTCCTTGGCATTTTTATCTCTGACAGATAATTAGCCCTCAGGTACAAGCGTAGCTCCTTCCCCTCTGTTTAGAAGAACCTGTCTCAGCTCTGTTGCACGCATTTAACACAACTAAGGCCCAGGATGCTGGCTAGGCCGTGGTCCCACGCTCCTTGCCCAGCTCCTCCATTCGCCCTGGCTGTGCAGGCAGGCAGTGTTGGGCTGCACTGCTGGGGTGGTTGGTGCTGAGCGTGGGGCTCCCTGCAGAGCCCAGGTTCATGCTGTTCTCCACGGCAGGACCTGTGGTTCCCAGGTGAGTAGCCCTTGCAGAGCCTCAGGTCCCACTGCAGGCCTTTGGCTTGGAGCATTGGTTCCCTCTTTGTTCCGATCAAAGTATTGCTGACGTTTTAAGATTAAAAGCTTTATTTCCAAAATACCCATTAAAGTGTCTGTTATGTTATGTTATATTATAGGCATTTGAGCTAGCAACTGGAGATTATTTGTTCGAACCACATTCTGGTGAAGACTATTCCAGAGATGAAGGTATGAACCCTTTGAGATACTGCGTGTTTCTGTACATTTCCACCTTCTTCTTAAATTTCTAGCAAGCTTACAGTGGGCTTAATTTTTGTTGTTGAGTGAATTGTGCAACACATTGTTTTCAGAACATAAATACAATTTTTTTCTTTTTAGTTGTAAGTTCCATCAGTAGCAGTGGGTGGGCAAAAAGTCCCTTCTGCAGATATTCATCTACTTAGCAACTGCCTGAAGGAATTAAACTGCCCCTCTTGTAAGACTGCATTTGTGTGGAAACTTGACTGAGAATAACAACATCTTAGTTTAGAAAAAAAGCGTAGAATTTGAACTCCGTAGCATTTTCTAAGATTGGCACTGGAATAATGTTTACATTGTGTATTTTTATCTGAATTAGACGATTACTAATTTTTTTTAAATGAGAATTAACTCCTGCTTCCATCTGTATACCTGTCCATTCTCATGCTTGTTTGCTTGTAAGTGCCCTTTGCAGTGGTAACGTGGGCATCATTCATTGTTCCTAAGTGCTACTAATGATGCCAGAGCTCTGCTGATCCTGGAAACCTCTGCATGGATTTGCTGCAAACATTGTTGATTTGAAACTATTTCTGATTTTTTACTAATTCCAGTTTCTTTCCTCTTCTTTTTATCCCATCCTTTCCCTGCCCCTTCCACTCCCGTATCCTTTTTTTTCTCTCCCTCATAGACCACATAGCACACATCATAGAGCTGCTAGGCAATATCCCAAGGCACTTTGCTCTATCTGGAAAATATTCTCGGGAATTCTTCAATCGCAGAGGTAGTACCTCTTCTTTTTGGCAGGTGCCGTGATGCAGACAGAAGTGGAATTGCTGTTGCTGGTGGTAGCACGTCCCGCTGAGGAGCGCTTTCTGAAATCGTGCAGCAATAATTTATTTTGGAAAAGCAAAACATGCGGAAATCTGTGACAAACTGATTTCTTATTGTACTTTTTTTAAACCAAAACCTCCTGACAAAAAACGGTTTGCTACCTCTTAAAGTATGCAGCAGAACGTGCTCGTGGCAGCCGAGACTCAGCTGTGGTTCAGAGAAAGAGGTTTTGCTGAAAGCCTCTTTCCGAACAACCACGGGGCGCCGCGTGTGCCTTTTTGCCAGGCTCAATCTATTTCTGTCTGTACCGGGCCGTGTTAGTGTGTGCATGCACCGTACTGATTAAACTGTTGTATGTTTCTGTTTTGCTGGCAATGTTCTCCAATGCAGACCACATAGCTTTGATCATTGAACTGCTGGGAAAAATCCCTCGAAAATACGCTATGTTGGGGAAATATTCCAAGGAGTTTTTCACCAAAAAAGGTAACGGTATTTATGCAACACTAATTTAAAGCATAATACTATCCAAAAGGAGAGTGTGTGCATTTATGGGTACTGGAGACATATTCCATTTAATGGAGAGCTCTCCTTTGGAAATTATTCTGGTGTGAGCTTGATTTTTCAAGAAAGTGAAAATTTGCGGTACTCGTTTCAGTATTTCATTTAAAATTCCTTTTGGGACACACTCAGCAACATGTGAGCGTTACAAATGTCTGTGCGAGTCTGTCGTCAGATGTAAATGTCAGCTGTGCACAGCTGTGAGCTGCTGAGCAGAGCCGTGCTCTCCTGCGGTGTGCGCTGCTGGCACCCGCTGACGCGCAGGGAGGGCAGCAGGCTGCAGGCACGGGATGTGAGAGGGCAGCGCTCCAGAGCCGTGCACGGGGAGCTCCTCTGCATCCTCCTCTGCAGGAGGGTGGATGAGGACAGAGCGCTGCGGCCGCTCCGTGCTCTCGCTGCGAGCGCCTCCACTGCCGTGGGCCGTAGCTGAGCTGTGCGTCACTGCACGCAGGAACAGAATTTTAACCCAACAAACATGCTGGCCTGTTAGCGCCCGGTACTTAACCAGGCTGCTCTGAAAGACGTGCTTCTTACCCGGGAGGGCTTGTGCAATTCTCCATGTGTTCTTCCCTTCCTTTCCCTGTCAAGTGCTGGGGTAGCACCTCGGCCTGCCCTGCCAGCGCTGGGCCACGAGGCCGTGTGGGGTCGGGGGGGCACAGGAGCTGCGTGTGGCAGCTGCTGGGCTGCTACTGTGGCCCTGTGGGGGTAATGAAGGCAGAGTGGCAGTGGCTGCCTTACTGGGGAGCCCGAAAGCCCAGGACTTCAGTGTGGAGGAGAGGGGGCTGCTGGGTTTTTACAGAGCGGTGGTGGCAGTGGAAAAGCTGGGAACTGCTGTTGTACAGCAGGGTGAGTGCCAGGGAAATGCAGCTTTGGGCATACAGCAGCACTTCCCACCTGTGGGCAATGAGTTTCAAGAGCTGCTGCTACCTGGGACAGGCAAATCAAGGACAGAGGGTCCAGGAATGTGCAAAACAGTGAAATAATAGGGCAGGAATGGACCCCCCAGCATCCCCAGAGTGGAACTTAAGTGATCATTTAAAGTCTGGACCACACAGAGATTGTTGTTACTGTATCCCATCCTCTTAAGAGCTTCTACAGCCTTCACAGAACTTCTGGGAGGAAGCTCCCATCTGTGGTGCACGTGCTGCCCAAGCACACTGGTCCCAGGTTTGTGGGGGTTCTGAATTCAACCCCCATATTACAAAATAAGAGGAGTATGTGAAGGGCATGACCTCAGGTGTCATGGTGACAGCCACCCAACACCAGTATCCCAGTGTGCAGTGATGTGCATTTTGTGCCATCGGAGCATGGAAAGAAGAATATACAGGAGTGCTCGGGGGGAAATACCTGTGGCAGATGCACTTTGTTCACAAAGTGGATGGCGACGTTGGATTTCCAGGCCTTCGGATGTGTTCGGGTTTTTCCTTGAGAATATAGTGCCTCAAACAACATAATTTAAATACAAGGATGAAGACGGCCTTTTTTCTTTATTTTTTTAGTGTGATGCAGTATTACTCATGAGACACAGTGCTGCTGGAACCATCCCCATGTGAACTGCCAGTGGACACTCTGCTCTCCCTCCTCTGTCTCAGTCCCCTCCTTCCCTACTAGACAGAAAAAAGAAGAGGGCACTGACACGCCGTGGGCCGCACATCCCACTTTCTGTTGCCGTAGCAGTCTTCTCTTTCTCTTGCCAGGGATTGACCATTTGCAGTCTTACTGAGTTGGAGCCTTTATGACAGTGCCTAGAGAGCTGCTTTTCAGGTGGCACCATGAGGAGAGCCTTCTGCTGTGCTGAGGTGGCAGACATGCCCTGCTGGGCACGTGGCACTGCCAGGCGGTTGGCTCAGGCTCCCAGAGGCAGGCTGGGGGTATGGCTGTCTTTGGCTGCCCTAGAGCTTCCATGACCACAGGGATGTAGGCGGACGCCGAGCCGACATCATATTGCCCATGATGGGCAGCAGGTTGCAGGCGGCTGATTTCAGCTGCTGACAGCAATCAGTTTGCCAGACCGCTCTGCTTAAAATAGTGTGACTTGCGTGCCCCATGCAGGATGACACAGCACGTCTGTGAGTCTGTGGATGAGTTGTGTTCAGCCTCCAGTGCTGGCTGAGAACCCACTGGCAGCCCCAGCGGTTTGCGGAAGGTGCAGAATCGTGATGAGGGTAAAAGTGCCCACAGAGCTGTTTCTGTAGCATCGCACAGGGGCTGAGGCCCAGGTACGTGCCTGGGAAGCAGGGAGGTGGCAGCGGAGCAGGAGCAGCCAGAAGAGCCTTTCTTTGCCATCAGTGCTGACAGCCTGCGGATACACGTAGGTATATTGCCAAGCCTGATGGCAGAAGAGCTGTCACATCCTTCGTTTGGTCTGAATCACACTGCCAGGTTGGCCACGTGCCACCTTTTTGGTGGGGCTCAATGCTCTGGTGGGTTTGAAGATGATGCGGGCAGCACTGGTGGTGGCATTCTGTGGGAGCAGTCAGCTGGGCCCCTCAGAGATGGAGCAGAGCCTTCAGTGCCAGACCTCTGTGTTTGGCTCGGTTTGCAGCTAGTTGCAGCCACACTGATGGCAAATGTCACGTAGCGTGGCAGCGTGACCCGTGCTGCTGAGACTTGTGCATTAAGATTGGAGCAGTTTTTGTGAGACTCAGGGGTGTGGGCTGATGAGAAAGCAGAGCCTTCAGTATTCCTGCTGCCTGCGAGCGCGCGATGGGGTGCTTTTGTGTGGAGGAAACGGAAGGCCTGCAGCTCCTCACAGGGAGCGGAGGGGCAGCGCTGAGCTCTGCTCTGTGTGACAGCGACAGGGCCCGAGGGAACGGCATGGAGCTGCGTCAGGGGAGGAGCGGGAAAAGGGGCTCGGGAAAGGCGCTGCACCAGGGGGCGGTGGGCGCGGAACGGGCTGCCCAGGGCCGTGGGCACGGCGCGGAGCTGCTGGAGTTCAAGGAGCGTTGGTGCAGTGCTCTCAGACATAGGGGTTGAATTTTGAGCGGTGCGGTGGAGCCGGGAGCTGGAACAGTGATCCCTGTGGTGCCTTCCCCCCTCCGAGATGTTCTGTGATTCCAAGAGGAAAACACAGGCTGGCCCCAGTGCTGTGTGGGTGTAAGGATCCCTCCTTGGTTTCACGCTGGCTGTGCTCATTGCGAGAACCTCAAGCAGGCACGTGGTGCACTGATGTTACTAAATAGCGCTTCTTGGAGAAGAACTGAACAAGGATTGGTCACTACTGGGTAAAGGGGCATTTTCCTAATACTGGTAATGTTTGTGTTTGCAGGAGAACTCCGACACATTACGAAGTTGAAGCCTTGGAGTCTTTTCGATGTGCTTGTGGAGAAGTACGGCTGGCCTCACGAAGACGCTGCACAGTTTACAGATTTCCTGATCCCCATGCTAGAAATGGTCCCAGAGAAACGTGCTTCAGCTGGAGAATGCCTTAGGCATCCGTGGCTGAATTCTTAGCAGAATTTCTCAGCTATAAAACAAGCCAGCAACCACTTTGCAATGCATCGGACCTAAATGGTGACTGTCACAAATCCTCTAGCAGGATCACACGTGAGCTGGCTTCAATCCTCAGACCTTTATTTTGCTTGAGGTACTGTTTGACATTTTGCTTTTCGTGCACTGTGTTCTTGGGAAGGGTAGTCTTTTTGTCCTCAGCTAGTAGTTTACTCACCCACTTTCTTCAGAAAACACTTAACGTGTCTTTAAGCATTGTTTCTTGTGTTGTGTGGCATTCAGATGTCAGATTTTTGAACAAAAGAAACTTCCTCCCATGTGTTTTGGCAAGTTTTGTAACTATTTATGAAAAAACTATTTTAGCTGATGCATATTATATAATTTACAAGCGTAAGAAATTTATGAAGTCAGAAGTGAGTTATGGCAAGGAACTGTACAATTTTATCTTCTGGCAAAGGGACGTCATTCCTGTATTATAGTGTATGTAAATGCACCCTGTAAATGTTTATTTCCATTTAAATACGGGACCGGGGACTCAATTTCAGAGTAAAGCTACTAAGTTTTAGAGAGCTTTATAGCAAACCAATTGCATGTAGTGACTTCAGACTGCTTTAAGGAATTGTGTAAACTTTCTATTCTGTAGCAGTTCCCGTTCATTGGATTTTAAACAAAGTGGCTCTGGTTTACAGGATTTCATTCCCCAAACGGCACTTTAAAGGAAGGCTAGACTTCTTTCTAATAAAGTATGCATTATCATTTAGCACTCCCTTTTAGAACTTTTGCCTATTTTAAGTGCTTTTAAGGAAAGAAAAAAGCAATTTCCCTTACAATGTGATAGTGAAGACATGGTACCATATGGTGTTGCCTTTTTCTAAGCACTGTAAGTTGTACTATACCTTAAGAAACAAATTAAAGGTCGAGCATGAGAACCACTCTGTGTAGAATTACTGATCTTTTATAATAAAAGTGTGTGCTTGAGTCAGCAAAGGGAGGACAGCTGCAAATATTTAGAGTGCAGTGAGTAAAATGCAAGAAGCGAGATCATGCTCATCCCATTCATAGCTTTACATGTTTCTAAAACAAATTGCACTAGCTTTATTTTTCCCATAACTAGACATACAGCTCTTTGTACGTTGCACGCAAAACTACGCTTTCCTAGGAAAAAAGCTACATAGACTGAGGCTTATAGGCAATACAGGTTTTAGAATGTACGATACGGAGGTGTGTTTTGGCCTCTTTTAGAAGTCAGTGGGATGAATGTAAGCTTAGTTCTGATTTTCATGTAACTATGGTGCCACTTTTTACTGATTTTGTCCATATGAAATTTATTCACATGCCTTTGCAATAACTAGATTGTGAGAAAATAGCCCCATGCTGTAACAATAACCAGTTGTTTGAGGTGCTTGCAGTTGTCTAATTAAAGTGTTTTGTTTTTTCAGTGTGCTGTCATTGGCATCTTTGATAGCCCTAAGCCACTGTTGGCTACAATGACGCGCCGTGCTGGCGGTGGGTGGGGGTGACCCAGGCTGAAGCGCAGCTCTCTGTTCACGTAACCAACATCGCATGGGGTAAATCCGATCCTTCCGCAGGGAAACGGGGCAGGGTGGGGTGCTAAATGAAATGAGACCAAACTGAGCCGTGTTTCATTCAAGGTGTTTTAACTCGATGCAAGCAAGCAGCCGCTTACCCCCTCCCTACACCCCTACACACCTCATCCAAAAAGAGACCCTGCTGCCAAGGAGCACACCGCCAAGGCTACGGGTGCAGAAACTCATCCTGTGCTGCGGCCCTGCACCAACGGGGTGCCAGCACCAGGTCCCTCTGCCTTCTGCTTCCCTCTTCTCGCAGGAACCGCTTTTAAAGGCCTCAAGGATGACACTGATGAGAAGAAACAAAAGGCTACAAAGGAATCCAGAGAGGTAAAGCGTTACGCTTCACACTTGGCCATGCCGTTGGTTGTGTCTGGATGCTGCAACTGATTTCAGGGCTGTTCTTAAATACACAGAGAATAGCAGCGTTTGCATCAGTTTAAATGCCAGTCGAATGAGGGACTCACCGCCGCTGCACTCCTTTCCATTTGGTTGACCACCGCGACAGAACCAACCATAGGGAGAGAGAGAGCCAATGCTGGGCCTGTTCTGCTGCACCCGCTCGCACGGTAACTGCAATGCAAAGTGCTAACAGTTATTAGGTCATAGATGGAGGTGGCTCTGGTTAACCAGCTGTGAACTGTGGCCATGATTTCTCAGGAGTGTGTTGGGTTTTTTCTTTTTTCTGCTGCACTGGTTGGTAGCTGGGCAATTTGCTTCTACTGCACGACCGCACAGAACACAGCGTGTTCCGTATCACGTCTGTGTGTTTTGCAGAGCCAATGCCTGTTCAGGGAAGGAACAGAAAGTACTTTTCTGATAATTATGAGCAGATAATTTTAAGTAAACCCAGTAGTGTCTGTATGCTAAGAATTACCACTTTTTCTCAGAGAGCAGCAATTGTCATTTCCCATCCTGTCCAGTGGCAGGTTTTCCAGCAGCCAGAGCAGAGGAAGGTGCACGCTGGTTTTCTTCTCTGGGTTCTGAAAGAGAGCCAGCAAGCATTTGTTCTGTTACGTGAGCAGAATTCAGCACTCACTGCTGAGCTGCAGGACGCTCTCATACACCACAGTCACGCTGCAATGCTTCACTCCCACCATACTGCAGTAAGAGCTCCAGCAGAAGCAGGAAGGCACATACTGACCTGTGCAGCCAGTGCCGTGATTTGTACCTAAGATCCGAACATCTGACAGAGCCCTGCTGCACCATCGTGCCAGCATACGTTAGACACGCTGGTATGCATGGGTTAACACCAAGTAAACTGACATACTTCATAAATGTACCCAGCATTACCTGACAGCACACCCTGCCTGAATCAAAACAATTCTTCCTCACCTCTAAGCTCAGCAAGGGAACAAAAATCCCCCTCCTGCACTCACTTCTACAGCCAGCTGTGCAATGACAGGAAGGCCATCAGCAGACACCACACAGGAGGAACAGCCACACAGCAGGCAGGGCTGCTCTCTGTGCTCAGCCCTCAACACACAGCACCCCTTCCGGACAAGTGGTTAAAACTGACATAATTGTGATTTATTAACATGAATTAAAATGCCCAACCAGTGCTGCAATGTGACAGTATATTAAAAAAAATTAAAGATCATATACTGTACTACTTTCACAAAGATCACACTTTTTTTTTTTTTTTGCAAAAGAGACTTATTATATACAATACTCTATCAAATGAAAGCAGCTTTAAGCAATTTTACAAGCAAAAGAAATACAGTATTTACAGCACTCAGACATTAGAAACGGTCTATACATTAAATTACATTTTCTGCAAATAACTGATGAAACAAAAAGCCATGTCCACACCAAAACTATAAAAATTTGTATTGCATTGTTTTCTATCTCTATGCACACAAAACTGTCGACAGAAGAAAATGGAAAAAAAAAAAGTTGTTAGTGCCATCACTTAGCCTGTGTACTTACTTAATTACATATGTATAAAAGTAATATAGAAAACATTCACTAAATGAATTTAACTGCAACGATAAAACTTTAAAGATTATGCAGCATCAAACCTACTGCCAGAAAAAACAGCTGGAATGTTCACTTACAAAATAAAAAGGAATACCTAATACTGGCTGAACAGCACGTTTCTGGGAATTTTAAAAAGCAAAAAATGGAAAGATACAATGAGAGAGCACTGGTGTTTGCTTTTATACAAAGTATCATGTACAAGCTTTAAAAAGTACCTCCCGTAGGTACATATGAAATATACACAGTTTATATTACAGCACATTTAAAAATGTTAGGATTAAGGGGATCCGTTTTAGTGCCACCCTGAGCCATGGTAATTGTTCTGAAAGGTGGGCGGCACCTGTGCTCTGTGAATGGGGATCTGTCCGGGCACCGGGGACGCCTGCTGCGGTCCTTGCACTGCGTGCGGGAGCGTGACTGAGCCAGGGTGCGGGCAGAACCCTGAAGCGGTGGGGGTCGCAATACTGTTTGGTCCTTGAGGTTGGATGTGGGGACCCTGACCGGGGAGCGGACAATGAGGCCCTGTTCCAGCAGGCTGATGTTGAGGTCCGGGTCCTAACGTGGTGTGGTGGGGGGCTTGCGAGGAGTAGGAGGACACGCTCGTGTGAGCGCCTGAGGGAAAGTGGGGGGGTCCTTGATGCGACGGGTGGTGCAAGCCTTGTGCCGACGCCGGGTGGTGCCCCGAGCCTATGACATTGGACGGGGGAGGCGGAGGGGGAGGAGGAGCAGAGTTTACAACGTGCTGGTGTTGTGCTTGCAAACCTTGGTGTCCGGCTGGAGGATGAGGAGGCTGGTGGTGGGGAATGGGGCCCGGCGGCGGAGGCGGGGGCGGCAGGTGGTGACCGGCAGCTTGAGAGTGAATGTGAGATCCGGGAGCCACCGCCACAGCGTGAACCGGGCCGACGACGTGTGCTACAGAATGCTGCTGATGGCTGCCCTGCTGCTGAACCAGGTGAGGGCCCGGAGCCGGGGGTGGCGGCGGAGGAGGAGGAGCAGCAGACGCTGAAGCCTGGTGATGAATACTGGGGGTCTGAGAGGGCAAGAAATGCCCTGCGGTTACGTGGTGTCCCGGCACTGTCTGCTGACCCGCAGAGCCGGGAAGTGCTTGGTTTGGTCCGGATGAAAACACAGTCTGTTGGGGGATGCTACCCTTCAGCTGACTGTAACTCTGAAAGTTTCCAGAGGGCTGCTGGTTCTGATAGTAGGTGGAAGAAGGGGGTGGAGGAGGTGGGGGAGGTGGTGCGTTGCTGTTCAGATTCTGTTGGTTGAACTGGCCGTAAGAAGCCGAGGATTGTCCTGAAGCTGTCTGAGCGAACAGCGGCCCGCTGGCCTGCTGCTGATTACTGGGCTGAAGGGTTGGCGCTGCGGGATAGAAACCACGGTGCGTTTCCCTCTGGGGCGTTCCGACTTGAGGTGACTGTGGGTGATGAGGTCTGTACGGAGATCCCAACTGCTGCGAGTGAGGCTTTGGTGAGAGATAACCGTGCTGCACGGGCGTGTGGGGCGTCGATGGCTTCGGGGGATTTTCTACGTGAGGCGAAGGGGGACAATGGAGTTTCAAAGGTGCAGAAGGCAACTTCTGTGAATGTGAAAGTTGCTCAGCAGAACTGCGCAGATGTGATTGAGATGGATGAGTTTTTGAAAGTGCTTGGACGTTATTTGTCAGCTGTTTTTGTTGCAGCTCTGATTTTGGATGATTCACGCCTTCGGCCTCTGGTGCATTAGCTGCAGTGTCCCAGTGTGAATCTGGCTTCGTGGGTGTTTTTCCCAGTGATGGCGCTGAAACTGCAGGACTCGGCGAAGAGGGCTAGAAAAAAGAGTCAGGGCAAAACGTTCAGAACATTTTAGTTATGAAAGCATTAAAACAAGAAGCAGCTTCTCGGAATAGCGCTCTCTTATGATGGCAGAAAAACATTAAGGCACAGAATGCATTTGACATGTGACAACCTGTAAGAGGAGGAAGCTTAAACTTAGCACAGGCATCATTTCTAGCAAGTACATACCAACTGTACTCCAAAATCAAAGACCAGCAAGTGCATCTGGAAGTAGTAACAGAAATACGGCCTGTCGGGGCTAAGTCAGAATCTGTTATTTGTGAGCTTCATATTTCCAAGTCTGAAAGGAATCATTACTACTAAAACAGAGTATTTTTCAGAGTGATTTAACATCCTAGAACTGGCAAAATGCAAGCAAAGAGACTGGTCATTACAACCTGAATTGCTGCATTTCATAATGCACGCCACTCCTCAGTGGCTTTCTTCATGTCTCACTGCCTCTACTGAGAAGCAGTGCTAGTGCTGGCCTGGCAAGAGCCAGCTCCTGCTAACAGGAGTACTTCAGCCATTTTACTGCTGTCAGTTCTTCAGCATTTCACCTGCAGAACTGACACAATACTGAATCCACTGACAAAACCTCTTCTGTGCCTACAGAACACACCACAGAAAAGCAGATATGGCTACTGGAGGAAGACAAACTTTTCAGCATGCTGGAAGATCTGCAAATGTGCTCACAGATGTTTACCCATGTTATGTAATTTAACAGAAATGTCACACATATCTTCATCTAAGTAGTAAAGCACGATGCCAACTGGAGACACGTACACACGGTTACATGCACCTGCATACGCAGTGCATTACCTTGCTTGCTTTTGAAGGACTCTTGCACGTCTTCTGTGAAGTATCTGGGGATGGACATTCAGAAGTAGGCTCTGGATTTTCAGAATCAGGTTCTACAGACAAAAGTTAGAGATTAATATCATAGTGAGAAAAAAATTATCTTGCAAAGGAAACTAAGCATCCTGTATTTGACTTTAAAAGAGCTACTTGAAGTTTATGTAAGAGATCATTCAAATACATCAAGTGTCATACAAGGTCATCTGCTTACTGACCTTCCATACATTCAGTGAAAGAATGGACCTTAAGCTGCAACTGGAAAACGAGATTTGAATGAGATGAAGGTGGGAGACTGAACATGGGGCAGTGACCATGGACTACAGGGTGACTCTCCCTCTACAGATGAAGCAGATCCAAACACAGCATCAGAACAATTAAGGGCTACAGCGGGGGAACTGGTTAGAGGGATCCACCTTCAGTGTGATAAGTGGGGAGCTATTGGGAATAGGTGAATGGCTGGACTGGATGATCTTTTAGATCTTTTCCAACCTTGGTGATTCTATGATTCTATGATTCTAAGTGAACTCACCACAGTCCTTGTCTTTCCTATGATCACTGAGAAGCAAAGCTCTATGATAACTTCGTTCTCTCACTTGTTCCACGGAGGTTGATGCAGTCCTGGAAGAAGGAAGCATGTTCTCATTTAAGATGATGTACTCCCACAGACCAAATTTCAGACAATATATATGCAAATACTGGGGCACAAAGCTCACATGGTTGACTGTACTTAAGAGCCAAATAACTCACCCTACAGGAGAAATGCCATTTGTTAGCCATTTTAGGTCTATTTTCTTGCGTTTTAAATACACCAATTTCCTGCAACCTTGTTACATTATGAGAAATATCAATTCCTTTCTTCCATACACGTGTGGAGTTGTTTTGTGGTTTATTTTTTAATTCTCAGCTGACAAACCAAAATGCACATTATAAAAAATACAGGTACTGAGTATTGCTTCATACTCTCCATTTGTAGAAAGCAGCCTTCAAAAGCCCTATCTTTACTAAAAAATAACTTGCTCTCTAATAACGGATCCACACCTGTGAATATTACACAATCACAGGTGTAAACTATTTAAGCTTCCAGATTTACCTTGCTAGATAGTGAGTGAAATGACAGCTATGCCTCTCACGATCAGTTACACACTCACAACATGATCGAGAACAGTAATGACAGCACTCTGATTATAAACTCCATTATTCTTTTAGGCAAGAACATATGGCAATACTCTACAATGCAGTTGCAACTGAAATAAATGTTGGAGTTCAGCCTGTTCCCCACATTCTTTCCTTGAAATACATACACTGCCTTCTGTGTAATGAACTTACAGCCACTTTTCAGTGAGATACTGAAGACTGCACTTACGTTGTCCCTTAGTTGGCTCCACAAACTCCTTCTGTTCTGGAGCAGCTGGAGCATCTATGTAGAGTGGTGCTCAACGCCTCAGCCCATGTTCACCTGCAACACTCTCAGGCCTTCACTACCGCATAAAGAACTGCAGTGCTTATTTTGTTCCAGTAATATTCTGGAGACAGAGTTGGCAGAATGACTAGCTATTTTCAGGCTACCAAAGAACGCAGTGGGAAAAGCTGCACAAATTGAAGCCATCCTATGTCATTCTCCTTCACACTGCATCTGCTTTTAAGGCTGCTGGAATACCTGGCAGTACAATATCTGGAGTACAATACAGCATACAGTTTGCACACAGGGGAGCCATCCAGCCACCATAAGCAACTATGCAAGTGTCTCCACACACTGCCTACCTGAGCAGAAGGAACTGCTAGGTAGACTGCATGCTGTCACTGTACACTGTAAGTAACAGCAAACAAAAATGCATTCCAACTAGATCACTGAAAAAGACTTCCCACAGTCTTCTGGAAGCTTCTGTTCATCATCACAGGTAATTAATTTCCTTCTTCCCTACGGTACTTCTGTAAAAGCTTTTGAAATTTAAGAGAACAAATCTTCAGCCACAGATGAAGCAGTGGCAACACAAGGAAGCTTAACGCAGAGCTGAGGCCGTGCTGAAGAGCAGACTCTGCTCTCACAGCACCCTCTCCTCTCCATCCGGCTCCCACCTTCACACACCTTACCAAGAACACTCTGCAGGATCTGTGCAACTGCAGAACAAATGTAATGCCATTTTATTTTGAGGGCAGTTGTGAACTGTGAGAAAACTTTATAACCTACAGAACTAGGTGACCTGTCTTGTTCAAGCTAAAGCTTTATTCACTCTTAAAAAAAACAACTACCCTGAATAAAAGTAAGTTGACATATATAACAGATAATTTTCTATACATTCTCTTCTTTATGAAGTATCTGCTATACTGCTGAGGTAAGAGGTCAGACAACTGTTCCAATCTGAAAAAAGGGTTGAAAAAGATCAGTAATCTTACCAACAAAACAGACTCGGAATAGAAGTGACACAAAATTAAGCAATGTCTCAGAACTTTTGTCCTGTCAATTTGCAACTTACCACTGAACCTCAGGCTCGTTCTTCTCACTGGAAGAAGTTTCCTTGGTTGCACTGTTGTTGCCCACATCTTCTGGAGTTGCATTATAAACAGCAGTTGGCAGTGGTACAGGCAGGCTTGCAGTGTTGTCACTTTGCTCCCCATTTTCACCACTGTTGTTAAACCCATCATTAGCACCACTGTTACTACTTATGTTTCCTCCACCAGCAGCATGAGGAGATACAGTAACCAAGGGAAAGTTTTCTGTCTTTGAGCCACTTTTTCTAGCTTCTCGTTGTCTCTTACGGTATTCTAGCAAGGATACCTATGGAGAAAAGATCAGAAGAAAGTTGACTTGCTTCCCTCTTGACATTTTCAGTTGAATACATTTCCTCAGTAAGACACCATCTACCTGGTTCTAAAAGAAAATGCATGGAGCTTAACAGAAAATGCTTCATCACATCTGGAGCAAATTTACGGGGCACCAAGGCAGTAATGAGTACAAAGAAGATGCCAAGAGAAGGAGGTGTGCATTTTGCTCAGGGAAGAGGGAGAAGTTGACACAAGTCAAAAAAATTTGCTGCTGAATTCATACTGTTGGCTGAAGCTACAAAGTACTTTGTGGATCCTCCTGGAAATGCAAAGAACATACTGATAAAATAATGCTGAGTTTGAGACTGAATCACTTTGACCCTGGATCCTGTGTGAAAAATCTACTAAACTTCGGCTTCAATCTCATGATTTATGCAGGAGAGTCTTTGAACTCTTCGCATGCTTTTCTTAACATAAAGAATTTGCCTCATGACATTCTTTTCACAATTTATTTTAAATCAGTGTCTTTTCTGTATTCTACAATGTCAATTCTGAAAATACTTCAGTGATCAATTTCAAGCAAAACGTTTATTACCAAAACCAATGACCCAGGAAGAGATGAGCAGTCCTTCTTCTCATCTGTGTGCATACTTTACACGCATTTATGTGTGTATATTCATATACACACATACAGACAAGTTCTCACGTAAAACAGAACACAAACTTCCATAGCTTTAAATTCAAGAATATTAATAGATTACTTCCACTGAGAAAAAAAAAAAAAGATTTTCAAATGCTTTCATTATGTATCTTCACAATTTGATGCAGAATGCTGAAATGCTGACATTCAGACATCTTTTTTTAAGGAAATCTGTGTTGTGGAAGTCTCATTTCGTATCTTTCCTGCTACGTATCAGGGAACTTGCTTAGTCCTCACTAACAGCAGACATCCAATTCTACTCAGAATTAGAAAGCAAGAGGGCTGCTCTGTCCACATCCCCACATGATTGTTTTCTATCCATTAAAAACTCATGTGTATGGCAGCATAAGAAGTCAAAACCACCTAATTTTTTCTAGGAGAAAGTCAAGGTTTAGAACCGATCTTGCTCTGAAATATTTTATACTTTCCACATCACAGGAATGGGAACCCGTGAAGATTGAAGCGAAGCTTAAATGTTAAGAACAGATTACATCTGTGATTTGTGGCCACCATGTACAGCCATACTGAAATGAGAAACTCGTAAAGTGCCAAGAGAAGGAAACATCCATAGAGATGCTGAGATACAGAACCCCCTCCTTTAATAACTGCGTAAGGACATGCGTATCTCACCAGTTCATGGGCTTCTACTGTTATTCTACAAAAATCCTGAATTCTCCCCTCACCTTAAGTGAAATTTGTCCCCCTTCTTTTAGACTGCAAAGTCTAAAAGTATACTTGAATTTGTGTGTGCATCCTTACAAAAGCAGAAAAGCATTCTCTCGGAGGTACAATTTCCTCTGGTTGATTCCTCAAAGCGAGATTTTAGACAGGAATTCTGAGCGTGTGCAGGGGAGGCAGAGGGAGAACCACGAGTTTTTCATTTGTGCATTAGTGCAGTGCAAGCACTGAGCAGTAACAACCAGGAAAAGAATGCCTGCCACTAAGAGAACAGGGTGTTACCGATGCACCCATCAGGTGCTGCTGCGATTTGAGGGGAAATTCACTTCACCTTCAGGTAAAAGCAGCAGCTAAACAAATCTTAACAACTTGTGTGTTCAGCTGGCTTTGCAAAAGCAGCAGGGATACAGTAATATGAACGGAACTACTCAACTTCTCAGGGTCAGGACCAGGTGAGAACACAGCTACTACCTTGCTACAGGTATGTCTGGGTACAAAGAGAGGTAAAGCAACTTGTGACGGTACAGTCATGGCCACTCCCTGGTACGATGCACCCTGAGAAGTGCAAGGGAACCTGATGGGACCAAAGCACCCCTGGCCATGAATGTACGTACACACAGACAAAACTCACCTCCAGTCCCTCACCTATTACTTCCATGAAGAATATAAATCACTAAATTCTACAGACTGTTACAAGACACTCAGGAATGGCTGCATCAGAAACAACTACTTTTAACATTTGTCAACCTTTCTGCATGGAATCAAGGAGTTTAACCTGACAGTAGTCAGGATATCCATACAGGTTAACTTCCAACTTCGTTTCCAGCTGAGCACGTTGAAAGCTGTTACCTACAGGAGCTGTTTGACAAGAACAGCAAATTTAGGCTGTGCTCATCTACCAAAGCAGGTGCTTTATAGAAGAAGAAATAAAGGATTCCTTGTATCTATGGATTTGTGTTTGCTAACAGCAAAACAAAGATACTGTAAGTACATAAAAACGAGAATTCTGAAGCATTAGAATCATAAACCTGCTAATGCAACTTGTAGGAATTCAGAGATTTTCTCTGTACGTGATTCGGTTGGCACCATTCCGTCTAACAGAATATTTTAATACTTGGTAGCACAAGCAACCGTCTCCAAACCTGAAAAGCAGTTCTTTATTGAGTAATTAATTTGAGACTCATATGAAATAACATGAAGTAAACATAATTATGTTTTTATATATTACTTTGGAAATCTGCATTTATTAATGGATGCAACTTTCCTCTTTCCTTAAGTTCTCCTGAATAATATCTACATTAAATATAAATCAGCCAGATTTTTTTTTTTTTTTACTATTATTATTAATGCTTCATTCTGCCACAGAAAAATATGTAAGATATATAGCCTATGTGAGAAAGACAAAATGATTCTTAAAATTATAACCTTTTTCTTCTGTGGAGGATTCTGGGGTGTGCAATTCCCATCCATCAAGTTGTCATTATTGACAGTTCTTCCAAAGCCAGATGCAATTCCATCTTCTGAAGTACAAAAAACAGATGCTTCCATGAACATGCCTCTAGCATCGTCTTGAATCAGGCACTTTGACTCACTTATTCTGAATCCACCTCCTACCTCCAACTGATGTGAAGGGGTCAAGTCCCTCAAATTAGAATTCATTGAGAAATTTACACCTGTCCTGTCGGGACTTTTTACCCAGGAAGAATAAATTGTGCCCCGTCCACAATGAGCAGTTTCTAACTGGCTGCTTGAATCAGTCCTATCATGTGTAGGGGCTTCCAGGTTTTTATGCAGTGTGCTTTGCTCAATTACTTCGAGTCCCAGCTGGAGGTCTGACACAGATTCCATTTCTCCTGTGCACTGCCGTGTCGCATCAGTCCTGTTTCGTGGACTGGAATACCCAATAGTCTTTATTTCCTGCAGGCCCATTTCTGTCAGGTTGGAATTTCTGAAAGAATTCAGTGCTAGAATCGATGCTCTGTCATATCCCTGCATGAAAAATAAAGGAAGAAAACATGTAAATTCTTCTTCCATATTGCAACTGTGGAGTAAAATAATTCTGACATTCATCTGTGCCTTTAAGTGAGGCATAAGAACTTTGCACTACCATGAGTTTAAGAAATAGCTGTGTAGCCAGATACTTTTCTCTACTACTGCCATTAAAAGGATTTTAAATTAAAAAAAATAATAATATTAATCCACATCAAAATAAGCTTTCAGTACCAGTATTTGCTTATGACTGGGAAACGAAGAAGAGCTTCAACAGGAGAAAGTCCCTGGTTACAAAGGAACTGAACTTAAACATAAAACGGATCTTTGGTGTCAAAACATTTATTTCAAGAAAAAAGGGTGGTGAAGGGTTCCAGGACACTGAGGAATTTTAAGACCATAGTAAATTCATGCTTCTGCAGAGGAAAAAATATTAGAAGCTAAATAAATTGACTTAAGTATTTCTTATAATTGTACTAACCATAAAAAGCTCAGCATATGCCCGAGCTTAGAAGTATCCTTACTAAAACATCCTGTTTTATGGCTCTTTATAATGCTTTTTCAATTATTTCTTTCACAATACAAAATTCTTAAGCAGAATTCCTCTTTTTGAGTCAGCTAAATGCTGAAATAGTCAGTTATGTTAGTTTGAAAGTAGCTGTTACATTCAATCAACTGCTATGACTGCATGAAAAGTTTTGTGTTTCAATATTTGTTAACACTTTGACTTAAAAATAATGAAGTTTTCTATGTACATATGTACTTAGCCCACAGAAAGAAAGTACCTGGGTCATTCATTTACACCAGAAGTAAAGCTCTCTGGAAACAACCACCTGAACGTTCTATCACTAGTTACTTTTACCTGTTCTTTTCAGGTGCTGTTAAGTTCACGGTTCAACACAGTTATGTAAATGTGGTAGCTGTGATACAGCTCAAGTTCCACACTGCTGCGGAACTTCTCATCTTTCAGACAGAAACATCCCTGTAGTTCTCGTATCTATAAACCAAGTCGCCCCCTGGTGGTTCGACCGTACGGCTCGAGCGCACGGAATGGAGCACACCCTCACCCGGGAAACTCCGGGCACGTGTCCGTAGCACTCGCTGTACCTCAAATAATCCACCAAAACCATAATATTTATCCTTCTGTGCTCTCTCAGTCCAAGTAAAATTAGGCTCAAGCATTTAAGAAACACTGATTAAAAAGGAGAATGCTAACTGAAATCTAGATACAGCCCAAAAAACCCAAGCGTTGTTTTTCTGTACTCCTCAGTTACGTTGCGGATACAGAAATGAAGTTAAGCAAGCATTTAGGGATTTTAGCAAATGTCCTCACCTCTTGAGAGTAAGCTCGCCTTTTTATTTCCGGGGAACTGTCGGGTGAGGAAATATTCTAGATGAACAAGAAGAAATGGGAAGTCAATTTAACTGTTAGCGTAGAGAATGTAAGACACCCCCTTCTAATAGGACTACAAATAATGATTTACACAACAGTGATAAAGAATCTGAAATGCATTATAATTCTCACCTCAAAGTGCATGGTATTTCCATGTATACATGGAGTTACAGGAGTAACTGGTGAATAAATGGGTTTGTAACCATTTCTACAAGCTTCATCCTCTGTTTTTACCCTAGGAGGAGTAGCAAACATCAATGGCTCTGAGGCAGCAATGTCAGCATGAGTTGGTGTGGCATATGGAGAAGGAGTAGGTGTAGAGGTTTCTGAGAATGCAGATTCCAACAGCTGGTACAGTCTTCGTTTTTTCAGAGGTGTTGTTAGATCTGCATTAAAATCAGAAAAAAAAAAGCTAGATAAAGATACAGCAATCCCAGTTAAACGCTTGAAGCAGTAAAGTTATAAATTCCATATTCAAATATTACTAAGACAAACACCTTGTGGGCAGAATTCCTGAAGAATAATTAATGAGAAGCAGAGATCACTATTTTCTTCCTTACCTTCTTTTTTTTTTTCCCCTGCTAAGACAATGGAAGAGATAATGGAAGAACTGTTTACACTTCCAAACAAATGTTCACCTAAGAAGTGGAAATTCGACGGATCATCTAATATGTTCCATATCCCTAAGAAACTGTGTGTAGCTTCTAGCATGTTTCCATTTCTCATTATTCCTGAAAAGCTGACTAACTTTCCCACGTGCAATGGGGCCACTGATTTGAAAGTAAATCTAACCCTAACAGCATGTACAAATGATCTATAAACTAAACTCTTCCTGATATTCATACTCCAAACCATTAGCCTTTTTGTTGACTGAATGTCCACATTTACTATGAAAAATGGTTGTTCCTTGTTTAGTCTCAATTATACATTAAAGAAAAAGGGAAATTATTTAACTGAGCTTTTCTTTCCAACAACCATCCAAAAGCCAAAACATCAGTAAACAGGGCAAATATTGTTGGAATTTTCATTAACTCATTGCTTTAAATAACTTCAGTCCTCCACATCTACCTACTCCAACATAACTTGTATGTATTTTATTAGTGGAACCTTCACCTGTTAAGGAACAGCTGTCATTCAGTAATAGCGGGCTTTTATTTTCACCGTTGATGGCTGGGCTTCTAGATCCCTCTAGCGATGGCGAATTAAATCTATCAATCACTGTTGAGTTTTCTTCTTCCAAAGCCTGCTTCAACCAACGCTGTAATAAAGTAAGTTCAAATTAGTGACTTAACAATTTAAAGATGCACACTGAAATGTGTATCTACAAATCATTTGCCAAGCAGCTTTTCTCTGCCGGAATTCACGCTAGGAAATAAAGACTTGTTTTTAAGTAATTAGGCATGAGGAACCGTAATGAAGAGAAGCATTACCTTCTTACAAGAGCCGGTCATGTTTTCCACAGGTTCTTTTTTCCTCCTCTTTTCTGAAAGGAATGGTGAAGTAAAACGAATATAGTGCTTTGGAGTAGAGTAGACATGTGGGCTGTAGGTGAGACCTGGTAGAGAATTCAGTTGCGTAGCCAGAACTTCGGGGTCGGTGGTTATACGCAGAGGCCTTTCTGAAATGCTGTCTGTAGGCTTCCCTGTCTTATCACTCTTCTCACTTAACCATTCATTTACCAAGTGCTACACAAGGAGGAAAAAAAAAGTGTTTTTTGAATGTTTTCATTAGTAGCTTTCAAACAGTTTTTGGTCTTCTTATTCACCTAGACACCCATTACACAAACCAGAAAACAATTTCCAGGCTGCAAGTTTACAAATACAAATATTCCTTGTACATGAGACTGAGAACATGAAAAAGGCTTTGGTGAAGTTAACCGGGCGATGGTAGGAATCAGTGTAGAATTGTGCCATGTAACAGAGGTTTTGTTGTTCTGTTTCTGAAAAACAGGCCAGTGTACTTTAGTCCCCAGGGAACTAAGGGAACTAACAGGGAACAAGAACTAAAGCAACTGAACTCAAATATGCCTGCAAGTATTTGAAATTCTTAAGAGGTTCACACTCAAATTCTTTACGTTTTCAAAATAAGCAGCTTTAATCATCCTCTGCAATACAGGCTGAAGATAAAAACTGCCTTCTTAGTTGTAAGATGGGTCGTTTTAAGCTTTTATCAGCGTTACTAGGAGACATCTCAGAAATACTGAAAGCTCATATTTTGGAGATATTCTGTTTACTGCCACTAAGATACCTTATGTATCATATGATGAATAAAATAAGGGAAGCTGACTGATTTCCTTCCCTCCCCTTGAAATTAACAGTTTTACTTATGTTCTGTATATTTATACACACACAAAATCCAGTCCATTTAAAAAGTACTGTCCTTAGAAAACATTTGTTCCAAAACTGTGCTGAAAACTGTATTAAAACTCAATATCTAAATGGATGCAATGCAATATTTTTAATTTTCATAATTAATATCAGTGAGCGGCTGCGTAATTTTTAAAGAAAATTAAAAAAATAATATGTAGTTTAAGAGGCAGCTGTTAAAAACTCCATGAAAGTCCATCTTCTTCTTACCCATCCCTTAAGAGACATACCTTCTTTGTTTTAGGATACTTAGTAGGACATTTATTAAGTGCTGGAGCTTCTGTTTCGGTAACCATTTCCGTAACAACAGTTTCTGTTTCTGGCTCAGCTACCAGTGCAGCATTCTCAGTTTCATTATGTTGTGACGTTACTTCCACATCAGGAGAAGATGGCTGAATATCTGAACACATGCTCACAGTTCTGTGCCGTCTACGCTGCTGTCCAATGTGAGTTCTGCTTCGAGAGAAGCTTTTTCTCTGTTTAGCTCTATTAACCTTGGCTGGTGTAGGCTTAGTGACAGCTTCCTCCTTTGCTGGTTCCTGGTACAAAACACCAATCTAGTAAATGGATCTAACATATGTAAAGCTACAGATCTTTTCTCAAGAGGAATTGTAAGTTCTCTCTTAATACATCTTTATTATCTGCCTTTATATAATTTCTGTTTTTACAACTAAAATACTTCATAGTTAGACTTCCCATACCTTCCTCCCAACGTTCTGGCAGTGATACATCAGGTAATTCACACAGACCAGTCACTGGTCAGACTACCACAATTTTCTGTAACTGCTATATCACATTAGTCTGTGGGCTAGAAATCAGCAGCTTACATCAGAGTACCTTTCAATTCAATACAGTTTTTCTCATTTATAGTTGACTGATATCGTTTACTAATATATAGCTTAGCACTGTTGTAAGATAACTAACAGCAAAAGCTGACAGAACAATCCAAACTGAGAATCATACGAATACCTGCAAGGGCTGAAGTGCACTAGTAACCAGCAACAAGAGTAAAGATGACCTGTTCTGAATAATCTACTGACAAAACATGTCTTTTCCCACTGGCTACAGAAGGTGTCTAATGAATACCATCTCCTATGCCTAGAATGAGCACCTATTAACACTCCCCCAGTATCTTTATGTGTGGTTCAATATCCAAACAGAGAAACAGTGCCATGTTAAAAGCTAGCCTTAAAATAAAGATTCAGATAACTACCTGAATAAATTCAGTGTCATTGAGAATCTGTGGTTCCTTGCATTCTGATTTAACCTCAGTTTTTGCTGTGCTGATCCTTTCCAAAGCCTGTTCTCTTCTTTTTTCTCTTTTTTCTAATCTGGCAAAAGCTTGCAAGATAGCTTCCATTTTCCGTTCTTCTCTTGTCTGATGGATATAATAATAATTGTCATCACATTTCAGTCATAATCATAATCCTTCACATACAGAAATACTGTGACTTTTTTTCTTCAGAACACGTACAATGTATGTTAACATGCAGATCAATTTCAGAAGAAACCCAAAGGAAAGGGAGATGTTAGAGTAACTGCAACTACTGCAGACTTACAAAGAAATGATTGTGTTCTCATCAATCCTGATGAACAGGAAGAAAGTCCTACTTTAGATTTAAGAACGTGCTGGAAATAATTGCTTATTACTATATTGCTAGCCTCATACATTATTGGCTCACTTGTTTGTATAGTATTTAAAAAACAATGAGTCACTCATGACCAGAAAGATTAAATACCAATAAACATACAGAATAAACACAACAAAAAAATTTCATTATCCTCTGACTCAGTTTTCCAAGTGCCAAAAGCTGTATCAAAACCTGCATCCAGCATCCAAGAATCACTATTTCAAAATAAGTAAAGGACACATCACACACAAGTTACATTTTATGTCAAACCATAATTCAAGTCCTAGTCCTTTTACAGAGGTAAATATCCAAGCATTGCTGAAGACAGTACAGATGCTGTGGAATTTGGCTGCTTCTATTTAAAGCTTTAATTATTTTAAATGCCTGCAGCTCAACAGCAGCACACTGAGAGCAACAAGTGTTCATCTCAAAGAAAGAATGCCCATAAGAATATTGCTCATATGAGTGAATGAGCAGCCCAGTTTTGTTTTTGCCACTTCTGTTTGACTGGTGAAACAGGCAAATTGAACTTATTCACCATCTTCACGATGGAGCTAAAAGGATTATTACTATTTATAGTGCTATTTATAAAGGAGCCATTAAAAACAATGTGCAATAACAAAGAGCAAAGAAAACAAAATCTAATTTTTTTTTGTTGTTTTAAGGCAATAAAAGTTTATACATACACATAAGACAACAGAAGATAAAAGCAGATTTTTGTCAGAAAGCAATGATAAAGCCACATGAAATGCTCAGGATCTGTCTTCATATATACTTAGATTCTAGAAGCCTACAGAAAGCAGCAATTAGCATGGGAAGAACATGTGTCACTAAGTCTTAGTGACAACTTTAGGCAACTACTTGCTTCCCAACTTACCATCTTCCTTTTCCTCTCTGCAATCTGCTCCTCTGATTCCATTTCTACTTCATTGCTAATGGGAGTTTTTTCTTCTATATCATCAATAAAATCTGGCTCCTGAAAGATGGAAATGACTGCTTTATAGAAGCTCCACTACTCCTCCAAACTAGGGAAAACTACAAGGTACACAGAACTAAGAACTCTCAGATCACAACTTCAAAAGTAACCAAGCCAATAAACGAAGACAAAAACGTAAGAAAGCTAAGATCCACTCGTGCCTTTGCATAAACCTATAAACATAATCATCTGACCAAATCTTTTTCAATCTGAGCTTAGGACATCTGCATCTTTTTTCTTAAGCATACTGATTTTCATTTTAGGGTCCCATGCCCACCCATCCATCCCCAGAACAAAATTATCCACATTAAATCTCCAAACCAACAGAGACTTATGGGCCACTGACCCAGCCAGTTCTTTATCAGTCAAAGAATTAGGGAGCTTTATGTTAAACACCCATTAGTGCAATGCAATGCAATGCATACTGTCATGCCAAAAGAGATGTTATCATAATTGCATAGAATTTTTTCTTAGCTCAGAAGTGTATTCCCTTGAAGTGACATTCTTCATTCACAACCTCACTATACTGTCTAATGACTGCCATGATCTACAGAAATATTAAGTTAGCTGACTACTGAAGGCCCTGTGATTTCAGAAAAAACAAGCAGTAACTTTGAGAATTCTTCTGTTCATTATTTCTTCACAAATCTTACCTTTTGATAAAATGATTACATGAAATTATTTACTATAAATATACTTTTAAGACAAATATTTTTCCCATCTGCTTTGTTTTACCTTAACATTATATACTTCACGAGAGGAAAAAACGTATCAATTGACTGGCTTCTATATTTAGACACATTTAACAGCTTTATTCTTTGCACAACACTTACTGTTTTAAGTTCAGTTTGGAAAAACATTGATGTCTCCTGTGACTGCTCTGTATAGGCACTGTGTATTATCATAGAAGCCCAGGAGAAGGTTCCAAATACCAGTTATCGTTTGTTTAAAAACAACAACAAAAATCACGTAAGACTGGAAGGTTCATACAGTGCCTTTGCAGACCTTTTTTTTTTCTTTTTTTTTTCTTTTTCTTTTAACAGTCACATGCCATGCCTTCCGGTCTTCCAAGCATGTTAAAGCAACGTAAACATGCTCCTGTCACTGTTATTACCTTCACTCCTACTGGCATTAACAAAATAAAAAGTTCAAAGTCTCTCCCTCTTAGAACAAAAAGTCTCTCTCTCTCTGTGTAAAACATCATCACAAGCCACTGTATTCAAAGAAAGTTTAAACTGTACTTTCCCTGCAAAAACAAAGGTAGATACCATGGTGACCATCTTCTCACATGAAGAATTCAACATCTGCTCTAGAAAACTTCATCACTTGCTGATTTTATGGATCTCTCTCAATAGTTCCTTCATAGTGTCAGATCTTAAAATTGCCATGGTACTACCAGCTAGCTTTACCACACTTGCTTCAAAACTCACCTTCTTCTTCCCAACCCTCCAAACTCTATTTAGATTTCTAACCAGCTTACAGGACAGACAGAAGCAAAACTCAGTATTCTGAACTAAAGTTTGATTTGTTACAGAAGCAGCCCTATTTGATGCTATGTTTAATAGACTGAATTTCTGAGTAATGTGGCTTTTTGGTTACTTGCATTTCAAGAAAGACTGGGAGCTCCTGAAAACATGACACGAGTCTTTTACATTAGAGATCCATACAGAAATTCAGAGGAAAAAGTGTACAGTTAAAACTCATAAGGGAACCAAAAACTTTAATCCAATCAAACATTAAGAATAACTGGACACATTATGAAAGCCCTAAACAATTCGTTCATCATTTTCCAATAAATCCACACACCCCTTTCTCCAGCTACTCATTAAAATTACTGTAGTAACCACTAAGGACACTATTCGTATTTAAATCTCTGTTTTGTTATCCTTTTTGTCTCAATACCTGGTTATTGGAAATGGACAGCCTGAGGGGAGAGAGCTTCCTCTGCTTATTATCTGCGATTTTCATTTTGGTGGCTGCTCCTTCACAGTCCAATGTGATGTTCTGATTTTGAGTCTCTTTTTCTCTTGAAACATCCTTCTCTTTCTTTCCCTTTTTCCTTCTGGTTTCATATCCCGTATTGATGTTTTCTGTAGGCTCAGAACGTCTGAGAACCGGACATTCAGGATTTTCTTTGAGGCAAGCACAGTCCACTTTGTATTTACTACAAGTAAAAAGAATGCAAGCAAGCACATTTTGATCAGGCTGTAAAGCAATGGTACTTTACAACGTTATGTCATGAAAGTGGTAAATTTCACATTAAGCATCTGATTTGATGTGAACTAAGCATATGAAGATCAGCTGACTAAAGCTTTCACAGGATATACTAGGAAGTTTTTTATTTCTGCAAAGACAGTAAGCAATTTACAAATTAAACACTGGGAAAACCCAGATACACATGCCGTTCAGCCAAGCTGACTTATCAGCAGACACAGAAAAGTGTGAGCTTTGTGCAGTAAGATGTGAACTAAATGGACTGCTCGTGGACTTAGGTGCACATACAGAATTACTTGGAACACTCGGGTACAAAATCACATTATTAAAGCATACAAGGAAATAAATAATATAAAGAATAAAATCCCCCCTGAATACATCATGACTTGGTAAGTATTTTATGTATTTCAGAATAACATGTTCATATACTTACCAATTTCCATAATCAAAATCAAATGCTATAGTAATCTCTGCTCCTTTTGGAATGTTATGGATGGAGTAAATATAAAGATGAATCGTTCCATCTTCAATTACATGCCTCACCTATAGGTAACAGAATATTACTTTATCGTAACGAATTAAAAATAAACAAATAAGCAAATAAAATTATAATCAGTGCTCAAATTATCAGTTGGAGAACTTCAAAAAGAAAAGAACATCTAAGTAAACATAAGCTAATTTAAGTTCATGTAAATGCTCACCTCTGCATTTGGTGTACACGAACGCCGGATGAATCGAGCTTCGTTTCCAAAAGTCCTTGCATCAACACACATTTCTAGCCCATGAAACTTGGAATAAAATAAAACAAATGGATATGGCCTGAAAAACAGAGAAGAAAACCAGCCTGTTATCCCTTTAAAACTGTAAATACAACCTACTTCTTACATTAGTTGTTTTTGTATCATGTCGTTGCCAACACGCTCTGAATCTGTGGATTAGTCTGAGAACCATCCATGAGCGTCTGAAGCTGCATTACTCTACTGGGTGCATTTCTCCAACTGTATTCTTGGAATGCTGAAAGTTTGCGTCGCAGTCCTGAATGCAATCTTCTGCATAGGATTTACAGGGAGCAATAACAACAGAGCAAGCACTAAACATGGAAGACACAAAGCTAAGATTCTTCAGTGTTCTTAATAAACTTTTTTTGGTAAAAAAAAACTTAACTAAACTTAAACTCTAGTAGAAATGTAGATGCCTCACAGAGCTGTCTCCAAAAAAAAACCACAGATGAAACAACCCCCATCCCTGCCTATTTCCAACAGTAACCACTTGGCACTCAACCCTCTTGAGAAAGCTGGACACCTAAACGCTCTGCCAAGATGTATTTCTGCTACTGCAGATACCTGGGAAGCCTTCCATCTTTACTGAGCACAAGATCTACACTCGCTCTTCTCCAACAGGCCTCTTGCAATGTCTCGTTATCAGGGTGTCCCTGCATTTAATGGTAGGGGGGAGAACAGTTCAGATGAAGGAAGCAGTCGTGAATTTGTATTTCTCTGTAATCCACAAACCAGAGAACCATGGCAGTGAAAAGTGCCAAGCTGACCATGTTCAGTTCTGTCCTTGGCCTGATAGAATGAAAATCTCTCTCAAAAGAAAGCTTTCACCATTACCTTCTGAATTATTTTAAGACAGCAGAACCTGTCAACCTCTGGCTTACACTGCACAACTCCCAAATGAGAATACGGGAATCCTTTAACCAGCTGAGAACAAAGAAAGAGGAAAATAATTCCTGAAAAAAATGTTCTAACGATGCTCAGAAGAGAAGGGGGGAGACCAGATACCAGCTGCAATTACTTTTAATGAGACAACAGTAAAATGCAAGACACCACAGGTAATAAAGATTCCTTCAGCATCTTCAGTACAAGTCTGGCACAAATGTTCCAATAGTTATCTTATTAAAACATCTGGAATAAACAAACCTTTTAAAGAAATATCCGTTAGCTTCGAACTGTTCTCTCAGCATGAACTTTCCTCTGTATTCAATAATAAGTGCATCAGGAGGCAAATCTTTGGCAGCTTTTAAAATTTTCTTGTTTTTTTGCACGTAACTCTATAAAGACAGAAGTTAATTTATGAATTTCATTTTATTTCATTTTTTCCATTATTATTAACAGCAGATTACACTTTCACAACTATTAAACAATGCTATATGAACTAAGTACTTCTTTCTTGCTATTAAAACTGCAGACTAATTTGATCAGAATGTCTTGTTCCACTACCAATGCAACTAGTCACTAATTTCAATTCAGGAAATGCCACTGCCCTGTATTGTGGCATGGTGAGAAAACAACATACTGATGCTCTCACTTCAAGTATTATAACCCTCAGTACACTTAGCTCTCAGAAGTACATGCTGAATTCCTGCATATTGCTTTGAAAAGGCTTCAATTCCTTCAAATCAAAACAGAAACATGCAGATACACACATTCATTATTCACTCAAGAAAAAAAACAGAACAGGAAAATATCAAAATAATAAAGAAACCTAGAAAAGTTTGCAAATTTCTTATACTTATTTCCATACCTTTAGATGAAAGGATGGCTTTTAATTAAAAACCAATACATACCCTGACAATTAGTGAACTCACACCTCTCAAAACTGTCACCGCCAATCAAAAAGGAAGTAGCCTCTATGTAGGAAAAAGGCTCTGTAAGCAGGGATATTCCTCTAAGGAGGCTGTCCCATATGCCATGATCGTCTTTGAGGAAAAGAAGCAAAGATGCTTCTATTAATCTGCTACAGTAACTACTCCTTGAGATTTCTGCTACAAAATGCTAATGTCTATTACATGGCTCCGATTTTAAGCTGCTAAGTAACTGATGCCAAGGACAGAAAAAAAAGACAATGCACAATCTCTTCATAAACTAGAAATTACATGATCACAAGAGTCGCACCAGTTGTGATACCAACTACTGCCAGAAACGTCTTTCATGAACTACTAAGTTATATTCTAATCCGAATACCTAAAAATTCAGAACCAACTTACCACATCTTCTGAAAAACACAGACTGTTAACATGTTGATGTACAGAGCAGAGAAACAAACTCTGACATTTATTCCTACTCTAACCATACCAGGTAGTCCTCACACATCAGAGAAGCGGGAGCAGAGAAATTTACTGTGTTATGCTCTCCACAAAAAAAGTATTTTAAATGACAATTCATGTTTCAGGCTTAACATAGCATCTTAACTATTCATGAAAATTGATATGCAAATATAAATGTAAGTGGCTATCTTGGTCATAGCACAAATACAGAGCAAGCAATAACAACACATGGCACAGCTCCTCACCTCTACTGGAGGTTTGAAAATCAGATTGCTGGTGCTGACTTCTTTCTTGTCATTTCCATTGCCTAATCTCAGAGCTATTTTTTGTGCCTCCCTCTGAACTCCCTCGCTGTACTGGTTATTATTTGCCTCTTCGTAACGATCCATCCATGCTTTGATTTTAGTTTCCCATCCAAAGTTTGAACTGTCAGTAGGATCAATCTCTGGAGCTGAGCCCTGTAAATTAAGTAAGCAATCACTTATTACAGGGTAAGAAAAAAATATATTTTTTGAAAGACATGTTCCCACTAGTAAGCTCAACAAAGTAAGTCTACAACATGCTACAAAATGAAGGGTAAAGGTATGCCATTGATTTAAATTTGTTTATAATGCAGCCTTGCTCTGTCTCTGTTGTTATCTATGAAAATTAAGACCTGTCAGTACTGTACTTCACATGCACTTTCCCCTTCGCTATACAAAGGGGAAGTACAGTTTGTAGGAAGTCCAATTTAATGCTCTGAATTACTTAAAAGCATTTCACTGAATTCAGTAGCATTATATCTGCCCTTCAAAAACTGCATCATTTCATAAAAATTGCCCAACTTCAGGAATACACTCCTCTTAAACAGGGATTCTAGTTTTTAGTGGGACGAGGATGAAGACTGAAACTGTCTTCTCCTGCAATATGAGTGCAGGAACTGAGATCAAATCTCTCCCTCTACTCAATTTTTATGAACATATGCAAACTAGCTTCCATTCCATTACACACAGATCCAAAACCCCCTTCCAGCTTCAAGGGTTATGCCACATTTTTCTGCTTTGCACTTAGCTAAACTTCACAAAGCCTATCACTAATACATTAAGGTGCATAGACTGTAAAATAGTGTTAGAAGCTTAGCACCAATCGTTTTGTTCCCCTTGCCTGTTCCTCACTAAACATTTTTTCCTCCCCTGCAGCACTCTGGGTCCTTTCACTTTTAAAGAAAGTACCATTGTACCTCCAGACCTCACAAACAGCAGCCAGGCTGCAGCCAACCAGTGCTCCTTACGGACAGCAGCAGCCAACGCTCCCTTTTCTATCCACCTGAGCAGAGACACTATTAAACATTAATAAAACAGCAAGTGTTCAGCAGTTTAATTTACCTGTTACTGATTATATTTATTTTATGCATTGCAGGAACCATACATACAAACAGCATAAAAAAAAATTGTGATGCAAGCAAACTACAAAAAAAAACACCACAAAAGCAACAGAACCATACAAACACCACATTCAAAAACAAAACAAAACAAAGATTGTCCTCTGATTTCCTGATTTTGTCTTTTTATTTTCAAGTCACAATCGTACCCCTGAAGCCTCAGTTGTGTCCTACTTACTGATATTTATCTCAAGGATGAATGAATTGTGCAAAACATCTAGCTTTCACACTACGCGTGTTTTTCTCCCACTTTAAGCAAGAATGCTGCAGCATTTAGATCTTGCAAAGCAGCCATCCCAAACACCATTCCTTTAACTAATCAGTCCTAGCAAGAAGTGTCCCACCAGATGGATACACCTATGTATGACAGAGCAGAACTGCTAACTTAGCTCTCCGAGTTGGAGCTATTAGGTTCACATGAGACGTACGCTCAACTTTATTCCCCTTCATACAGCACAGATGTGCCCTGAACATTTTATTGACTTGATAACCAAATATTCTCAGAGAAAAAAAAATTACACTACTTTGCTTGAATCTGTAGAACAAAAAGAGGAGCCTTCCATCTCAGTTTAAAATTCCCACAATAATCATGCAGTAACTTCATTAGAGTAATTGAGTACATAAGTATTACAAAGCATCAAGAGCACATCTGCAGTTATGCATTAATGTACAATTAAGATGTGAAAGAAAACAAAACGATCACTAAATCACATTACCTTAACTCTTGAAGATTTTCTGGATCCTTCTCGAAATGCCTGAAAAAAGATTGTTTATTTTCTTATGTGGCAATACACAATCTCTTAAGGAATTCAAAACCAATTAACTTATTAACAATTCACTGCAGACTATTCTCAGTAAAGCATGCAAGAAAACAGGCAAGTTGCAACGAAATTGCAGGAAGGCAGCAGCTTGTCTCCAGTAAAATGTAATAAAAACTAAAATCAGCATTTCAAACTGAAAGTGCATTGGATTTTGGCTCTAGAAGGCCATGCACCTAGTCTGCCTGCCTCTCATATTGCATAACTTTCAACAATTTCACAATGCAGCAAAGAGCTGCTCCAGAATTATTTACTGAACAGCTCCATACTTAGCAGGAGAGTGCATGAATAGTCCAAATATCTCACTGCACTGCTAGTGGAATGAGCTGAGCAGGAAGCAGCTAACAGATAACCTATGAAATTAATTTTTCTTCTGCTATGTTGGGAGATAAAAACAGAATAATATGTTGCAGTAAGTCTATGTGCAGAACCTTTCTCTCAAAAGGAAACATACTTAAGATCTCCAAAAGGATACCAGTAACCATTTTTCACTTGTGAGGGACAGAATTCTCATCGAAGCGAGTGAAATTTAACTACAGAAAGCAACTCACTGCTTTAGGAAATGCTATGCACTTCACTCCCTCACATAGAGAAAATACTGTTCACATCTAAATACCACTGCTTCTATATACTGTTTACCAAATTATTTTAGATAACACTAGCAGCACATTTCCACACAATTTCACCTCAAATAAATGGACATGTGTCTCATGAAGTAGAAAACATTTCTGAACATAAATTACCACAACTAAAGATTCCAGGCACAGAATTCTTCTTTGGTTACCTGAAGTCTGCTCATGAAGTCTGCTTATAGCTATAGTAAGTGGTGCAGCAAAATGCAATTCTCCTTACAAATTCTGTCTCAATTACAAAATTCAAGTGTCATAGCTGTACATCTTACTTTGAATTTATGAGGGGGGAACAAGCAGGGAAGACTGTAACACGCATTGCAACAGGGCACTTCATTTCAATGTAAACCCAGGTAGTAAAATATTATTAGTAACAATGGCCTGAATTTTAAAACCAAAGATGTCACACAGCTGTGATTTGTAACACTTACAGAAAGAGAAATCAGATTCACTCACTTTTTTACATTTTGCTATGTTCTGCTCTTTCTCCCCACTTTTCTTCCTCTTCTTATCATTGACCTTTGTAACTCTTGGAGAAGCTATTGTAAATGTAGTTGGTGTGTGTTGAAAAGCAGTATACAGTTCCACAGGAACTTCATCACCACTCTCTGTCGCACTGGTATCCCCATCTTTAAAACAAAGAACAGTTTATAAGCAATCAGAAAGAACATTAACTAGTTACTATGTAACTTCTTTTAAAAGCAAAAAGCATATACTGTCAAATACTTCAAGTATTTGTTTGCAAAGTTTTCCAACAGCTTTAACAGCATGAAAACGAATAACCTGTGAGAAGCTGGCCATCAGCAGGTGTTTGCAGTACCAGGTAAGAAAAAAATACCACACTAATTCAACTTTTTAAATAGCATTACTGTACGGTATTTCATTTTAAGCAACATTAGTATTGAAACAACAACAAAAGCAAAATATTATTCATCAGCTCATTCATCTCTGTATACCCGGCCTGTACTTGTAATATGGCTACAAGATTCTCTTGCATGATGACAGTCTGAAAGGGATGAAAATTATTACCTGCCCAGCATTTCTTTTAAAATCCTATTAATCAGTCACGTCCAGATGAAATTTTGACTGTTATGTGTCCTTTCCAAGGTAAGTATGTCAATGTGGCTGAAAGCCTCTTCTCTTTAAAAAAAAATAAAAATCCCCTATCAATAACACACTGCTACTCCCCACAAGGAGAAATGGTGTGTCTACTTTTCTTGTTAAAACAAGACTGTACACAAACTGATGCAAATTTTCATCGTGCTGTTCACAAGAAGACCTAAAAGCTGAAGTATGAAATTCAGCACACATCATCACTGATGTCAGGTAAATACATTTCCTGACCTTAAACAGGATTACCCTAGATCTGTCACGATGAAAAGCTGTCAAGTGTGAGGAGGTTTGGAAGAGAGATGTACAAACAGATAAGAGACTACAAGTGCTTAGTACAGACGTCTCACATTTTAGCAGCTTTTCAAATATTCAGCCTTCATTAAATACATTTCACACTAAGCAAGGCTTTTTGAAGCTGCATGGAAGGCTTAACAAATACTTAATAAAAGAGCAGAGAAGAGTCTCTGAGATTAAAGGGATGTTGCCTTAATCAGTACACTCGACAGCTCTGTAAAGAGATCCAGCTACTCAAGATTTTCCTTGATCACAACGTTCCTTAAACAGGATTACTCTCTCCACAATAGTAAGCAATCCAGTTTTACTATATTGGTTCTTCTTTTAAAGTCTGTTAGGCAAATAATTATACCTTACCTACAATAAGATGATATGGGAATATTGATGTTTTAGAAGCTGATCATATTTTCTTAACTTGATGCATGCCCACTGGGACTATTTTATGAACTAGCATTAAAAGAAATGCAGAAGCCTAACCAAAGAATAATTTTCATGTATAGTAGATTAAACAACAGTTAATAAATGAAAATTCAAGGCAACTTTGAAATCATCAATGTTGCATTCCAGACATGAATGCCCACAGCATCATTATGTCAAAGGCAAATAAATAAGCAAACAACAGACCCTACAAAATACCATATTCCCCAGAGAAGTACAATGCTATTATTGTTGTCTATCTATAATGTGCTCTAGCTTTCTGTAAAGAATAATTACCTCAATTGAACATATAATTACACAGAGTTGTTTTGACATGCTCCTTCCTAACCTACATAACCTGCTTTCACTTTGAAGAGCCTCAGCAGAGCACTCTAAGGGAAGATTTTGTAGCGTGGAAGACAGGGTACAGACACTGTAAAAGTTTCACAGAAGATGATGGGCCCAGACTCTTCCCTCCATAAGCAGCAAGTGGTATTATCAGCACCACTTTAAAGACCAGGCAGCTTGAAGCAACATCCATGAACAAGTAGTATCTAGAAACTGTATGTTTAAAAATAGAAAAAGCCATCCTTGATGCAAATAACTAAGTAGTTCACACACATGCACACACACTCCCCACTGATCCACAGGAAATAATCTAATCCACAGCAAACAACATTACATGTTTATACCAGAATAACAAACCAAACTCGACCACAAACAACTGCAAGCACCAGAACTATGGACCAGAAATGCTCCAAGGAAGAAAGGTGAACACACAAAACTCACCCATTGGTATCACACACAAGTGGTACCGCTAAAAACTCTTTTCCTGAGGTAAAATAACTGATCTATTTCTTCTCCCCACAGTTTAGCTCTGGATGGAACAGGGCTAAGCTCAGCAACGCTTTCGAAATCATTAAAATAAAACCCACTACTCTGTATTCTCACATCAAATTGAATAGTTACATTATGGGTAAACTTCAAGAACACTGTAACCATACTCAAAGAGCACAGAAGGAGGGCAACCTGGACTTCCATCAAACATCTGTAACTTATCACCAAGTTACAAGCAACATTCTGCTGCTTTCAAATACTTTTATTAACAGAGCCATCTGAATCAATGCTTTTTTGCTCTACCTACTTGATATTATCCACTGAAACTGGCCATTTTCACAGGTCTCTCATGGTAAACTATTCATACATAGAATTACTTTAGGCTTGACTGAACCACGTAATATCAACAAACACAAGAAGCACATTCAGCCACGCTGAATGAAAATTAACCAGAAATTAATGGATGCTTGCTCTCTAATTATGTACTGTAAATTACAATTATTAATAGCACACACTAAGTCACAGCCTAAACAGGATCAGAAGCGTAGGGCTTACTCTTTTTTGATACTTAAGATTAACCATATACTTTTTTTTCCTATTAACTGCATAGAACGGATTTAAGACTGATCAGGACTAAGGATTAAGTCAAACTCCAGCTCCTACATAAGATTCTGACCACCTCTATTCCTGCAAACGATCACAGTGTAACTACAAATCCTCAGAGATTACTTAAATAGCATGGACCATCAACTTCTGCTGTACTGTACATGAATTCAAACTGAACTTCACAGTGTCATCATACCACTTACATGTAACAAATGTACTTGTTTTACTGTTAAAATAAACAGAAAACACATTCTAGAACTCTGAAAAAATACATAAATTTGTAATACCTAGCATTTCAGTCAAAACTTTTATAAAGGAAGTTCTGTTTTGCAAAAATGAAAGCAGGTAAAGCCAGAAATAATAGTGGTGCTCTAAGTAAGTTATTAACATCTTTAACCGTCAAAAGCAGCTTGCTCATCTTGCACATACCCCCACACTTCAGAAACAGCATTTGGAAGTAAAACATCTGAAGTTACAGAACAGAGATCATCTCCTATGTTAGGACTTTTGTAATAGCTTCAAAGTAATCACCTGACAACCAAAAACATGCAACATTTTGGCAATAGCTGGACAGAGCTCCTGACAAGTTATATCAGTTGAGCTTTCCAATTCCATAAATGGAGAGCAAATTTCACAAAACAAAGAAAAGGTACTACAACAATAAAAAACTGTATTAATTTTTGTAGTTGACAAAAACACCAATACACATAGCCAACAAATGAGAGTTAGGATTCCTTCAGAATTATGCTATATTGTTTTAAAGCTCATTTAGTTATTTTATTTTTTATCAGAGTCAGGAACATTAGCAGCAGTAGAGTGGTTTTCAGATGTCAGTATTAGGATACAAGTCTACACTGCTAAGGAAGAAATGACAGAGCAATGAAGTCATTTTCCCCCAGAGAAAACAAACCCAGTAACTCTTCTCTTAACCCAGAAGAAACCTCAAACTTTCCCATCTATTTTTAGTAGCTCACTCAAAGTATTCTTATGATTATAAAAGCTACATTCATTTTTATAAAATCTTAAGGCTCAGACTGAATTTCTCTGCAGCAGTCAGAAAACAACAAAAAAACCCAACAGGGATGACAGCTTTTAACGAAACACTTGGAACCTCAACTATTCTGATGTAACGTTGCTGTACATGATAAGAAATACAAAAACCTATAGTCTGTAAGAAACAGATTCACTGAACCTTACATTCTGAATGCAGTCAGAATTGCAGAGAACTGTGTACGCACCCTTAAGTCCACGCAATTGATAGTTATTTTACAACCTTTAGTGAAAAAAGTTCAAGTTTTACCCACCTGACATATTTTCCCTTTTCCTCCTCTGCAATAGCACTGCCCTTTCCTTATCCAAGTTCCTGAAATTAAAGAAATAACTTTTACTCCATGCTTTACATTTATGGATCCATACATCCAAGAATTAAAGCAGACTTCTTGTTTCCATTTGCCAGTGACCACAACAGAATAAACTGTATACGAACTGAGAGTTTAAATACTCATGAAAACGTAAATGTTGCTCTGCTTCATTCCACAGTAAGGCAAAGTAAAGGGCAGCATTCACATCACTTGGAAAACATACCGAAAATGGAGGTAGCTCAGAAGAAAGATCGACTGTTGGCCCACGGATTACAAATAAGCAGGCATTAAACCATCTTCTTGCAGATCTAAATAATCATTATGATATAAGATCCTAAGATGACAGGGCTCAAACATTTTGTCAGAAGAAAAAAAATCATTTATTTGTAATTAAATGTGTTCTGAACACAGGTCTTTTATTCACTGTGCAACTGACAATCTGCAATGTAACTAAAGGAAGCATTTTATGCTGCATGTCACAGGGCAACAATCATTAGTCAGGTACCATCCACCTACCAACAAAACAAAATGCCTTCCTAGTAGTGTCTTATGACTTCTAGACTGAGAAAGAGGATAAAAGGTACCTATTTCAGAGCAAGAAACCTTCGAAGCGAGGACTGCAGCATTTTGGAATGATATCCAGAAATGTACTCAAAACGGATGGATCAGTTAACAACCTGAAAGAGCTCCTGTAAAGAATCCCCCACATTTGACAGCAATGAAACAAAAGATAGAATGAGTTTTCTCAGGCTGACAGACAAAATCCAGGAGATGCTGCTATGGCAATAAGTGTTTCAAGTGTTTATCACTGTCAGCTAGCGAGGTAAAACAACAATCAGGGAGCATATGGAAATGGATATCAGTATGATCATCTGCATCAGAAACATGCCTCCATCTATTCTGTTGTGTTTGTTGGTTTTTTTTTTCCCTGAAATATTCTCCACTCCTTCTAACTATCTGGAGTTGAAAACCATTCAACTACTCACCTTGGTTGACAACGTTCACACAGATATATGTCAGGAATATGCTGCCTGTCAATTCCCATACAGTCAATGTGCTGCCAGACACTAAAAAACAAAACCCCAAATTTTTAGTTATTTTAAGGAAAACTTTAGAAACTTTGTGTGCACACATATCCTTTTTTTTTCCACCGTGATCTTAAAATAAGGTTAAAAATAAGATTTAAAATAAGAGCAAAGGTTACCAGAATTAAGGACCACTGAAAACAAACAAGTTTGTTACACATGCAGCTGGCTGAACGAGGCTCAAATTAATGTTGTGACTAGCTGTAGATATTATTTCAGAAACACACAATGACTTCATAAATTAAGCAACATCAATTTGTTCATTGGAAGTCCCAAAGCTCAATTTTCCAGAATCCAGAAATCTATTAGCACCCACTCACATTAGTATGCCCAAGCAGGTACTTAAACATGAACACAGAAGTTTAAACATTTAACTCTGGCTTCCAAAATAAGAAACTGCTAGGTTTAAGAATTTCAGTAACTAGGGAAAGACTAAGTCAACTCTCATGAAGATGAAGAGTTCTTATCAGAAAGATGATGCAAACAGAGGCTGATATTTGAGAGGTTTATGTCCAATCACCTTGTTTTCTTCAAGTTATTTGGTTTACACATACCTAATTTACCAAGATACTTCATTATTACTTGGTACATGCAGATTTTTCTTTGCCATAATAACAAACAACTTGGAGAAAGTACCAGACAGATACCTGTTTGAGAATAATAAAATCCTTCCTGGAGTAACAATACACAAATAAAGGCATGTTAAGACAGATAGGAATAAGGTGTGATAAACTCATTGGCCTTCATCAACTACTTTGCCTATTAGAAAGCCATACAATTTTCAAACAATGTTCTGATGAAGGAAATGTATTCTTTTCTATTAATCAACATAGTTGAATCACTATTTAATTGCACTTAATATTACAATGCAGTTCTAAGTCATTTTTACCTTCTTGATGCATTTAATATTCATTACCTGCATTTGTCACAACAGATCATATATCCATCATCGTGCGTAAAGCCACAAATGCATCTGGTAATATCAGTTCCATAGCTTCCATCCTCTGATGTACTGATGGTAGTAGCACTGGAGGTTTCATCAAAGTTGGGAGTGGTAAATATGCCTACTTCATTCTTGCTTATAACTACTGTTGGAGGAGGAGAAGCTGGAGGCGTTGGAGGAGGCCGAGCACCATAGTTATGGTCCTAGATTGGTTTTGAAAGGTAAGTTGTAAGTATTCACATGCTCTGATAGTTATTTAAGCCAAAGTAGAAGAATTAACTTCATAAAAAGCCTCTAAAGCTCTAAGCATTTGTAAATAACACTTCACAGTTTTGTTTTTGTCGTTGTCCATTCTTGGTTATGTACCTTCTCAGCTGTGAGGGTGGTGAGACTGGAACAGATTGCCCAGAAAGGCTGTAAATGCCCCCCTTCCTGGAAGCATTGAAGTCCAGGCTGGATGGGGCTGTGAGCAACCTGGTCTAGAGGGAGGTGTCCCTGCCTACAGCAGGGGTGGTTGGAACTGCATATCTTAAGCGTCCCTTCCAACCCACACCATTCTATGAGTTTGTAATTTACATAAAGTTAACTGTGTTCTGCGTTGAGTTTCCAATCAACCACCTTTAGTCAATTTACCCAGACCTCAATAAAATGCAAAACTGTAAGCAAGAATCAGCATTCTTCTATTTTAGAACAGCAGATTTTACATTATCTATGTACATACAATATCTAGTGAAACTTACTGCATAGGGCAAACCAATGTAGCTGTGTGAATGCGAGCTGCTGGTATACAACTGGTGCGGATAACTGTTCGATTTTTCAACTACCACAGGGCTAGCTTCTACAGATTCTGGTCTGCAAAATCAAATCAGAAGAAGAATAAATACAGTTACACTAATGAATGTAAATATCAAAGTGTGTAAGCTAACATAACACTAACAAACTTCATGCGCTTGTTTCACAGCTGCTAAGTAATTACTTGCTCTTCCTGTTAAAAAGGAGCATGCAAATAGGTAGAGGGTAAATCTGGGGGGAAAAAAAGAAAGAGGAAAAAACATTCAACTCTGTATTCATTTATCCCTTCAGAGAAAACAACTTTCACTTAAAAAGAAAGCTTTCAGAGTTACAAAGAACTTATGCCTCTGTAGTTACAAAATCTTCCTTGAAGGAAAAAAGAAGTCCACATTAAATCACTTCACATAACCCACAAATTTGGCTTATGAAACAGAAAAGCATATTATGCAGTTTGTCAAGGATCTATTAAGCCGTAATAAAGGCTAAACAAAGGAGTTCAGCTTAATGACAAGAGAAGGAAGCAGCTATACACACAGAATTGCAAACCTATTGATACAGCTCCAGCACCAGCTGCGACGCTGCTCAATTGTGTAATGCCACCTGGCGGTTGCACCACTGCATCATTCTCAACATTTTCACACACCAGCACCGAAGCAGAGCAGTACTCTTTTTACAGACAGAAACCTTAAGTAAGGCAAACTTATTTATTAAAAACGAAACAAAAAGCAGTTCCCGAATTATATTTAGCTAGAAAGAAAAAAATGAAAAAACTGCTAGATAACGCTTTGCAGTAAAAGGTTGTAACAGTCAACCCACTGCTTCCATGATCTAAACTACAACACAAGATGAGAAAGGAACACTAAAACAGGAGCCTCCGAGTCCAAGAAATTGCACCTTTCCTCAGCAGTTACATTTATGTCAGCATCCTGAAGCTTTTATTTTTTTTAACCCCCATGACCCAAATAGACAAGTACAAACTCCAAATGAATGCAGTTACCTAGCTGCATTATTTATTTTTCACATTGAAACAGAACAAAATATCTTTATCTAATAAACTGAAATGGCTTTTGACTCACAATACAAATCGAGGCTAATTTCTTCCCTACATTTAGCTTTGTGATGCATCAAATATATTTCCCATCACAAATAGTTCAGTAATTCCTTGAATCACTGTTTAAAATGAAGATGGTTGTTCTGAACACTGCTAATTCAAAAACCTGTGCACTTTTCTTCAGACTCTAAGATATTAAAGACAGGCTTTCTGTTGTTGTTCTGCCACGAGGTGACACTAGGCTGATGAAGAGAACAGCAGCAATTCCCCCTTGTTGCTAACGTTTTTGTAAGAATATAATTATTCTTCCTGGAAACAATACAGAGCACTTTTCTATCTACTTGCAGATGTCCTACTAATATCTTAAGCAACCTGCTTCTTACTAGCTTTTCCCTATGTGATACTACTACGCAATAAAACAGGTTAAAAAGAAACACTTGTTAAAATTACCCATAGGTGAGAATGTTAGTTAATGAAGTCCAAAGAGGGAAAAAATCTTCTGAAAAATACTAATGTTTCTCACAGTCACCAAGAAGGGTGGACGAAAGAGGAGGATATTCATCAGATTCATCAAACACGATACAGAAAAAAAGGACACCAGTTGGACAGACAAAGTTCTTCCAACAGATCTCCCTTTCCATTATGACTATCCATATTCTGATATGCAGTGCACCTATGCAGTAACTGCACACCATTAATGTCATCTAGGTAATCCTTCTGATGGTCTTGCCAATCTAAATGCCAGTGGATTAGAAGTTGACCTTTCATCCATGATGTCTAAAATAGAAATTCTCTTTTTTCCTCTCCAATTCAAGAGAGTCTCCATCACTGTATTGCTTTCATTGTTATTCTTCACCACTTACTCAATTGGAAAAGCAAAACCATGGTTCCATGCCCACCACTATGGGTTCCAAGCTCCACCTCGATGGTTTTCTTGAGTATATGGAAAATAAAAGCCCCCGTTTTCAGAGCAGGAGGGTTTACTCATACAGACTAGTGGGGAATTCGTCTACAGTTCATCCTTAAGCAGTGCTGTGATTGATTTAGCAGATTTTTCTTCACTGAAAATAAGTCCATCTTACCAGACCTAAATACCAGCTGCTTCGACATGGGAGCACGCAATGAAAATATCAGAATGGAAATGTATGTCCTAAAAAGTGAGGTCACGTGTGTCATTAACTGACAACAAAACTAAAAAGGTACTCCTGCAAAATACAGAGCAAGAGAGTACACCCTACTCCTTAAACGTATTTCTACCTAAGCTAGAAAATTATAAACCACTGAAGAGAAAAGCCATTAAAGTTTAGATGAAAGCAGTTGTGGAAAGCAGAAGAATTAAAACATCTAAGAAGGAAATGCATTAGACAAACAAATGCAATCCATTATCTCCAACTATTCTAAGACCTGGAGAACACAGAATGCAGAGCCAAAACCCAAAAGCCCAACTTTCATTTGAATGTGTATTGATTAGCAATTCACAATCGTGCCAAATATTCAGAATTAAAAACAAACAAACCAAAAACAACAGCAAGGAGCATTAAAAAAAAAAAAATAAATAAATAAAAAAGAAGTTTCTTCTGGGTTAAAAACATTCTTGTAACTCGAAAAAGAGTTAAGAAGTATCAGTGTCTCTCAGATAAATTTTAACTCTGCAGATGAAGACTCTCACGTTCTCATCATTCCCTAGCATTCATATTTAAAAGTACAGTGCAAAATGAAAAAAAATATTCTGCATGCTGCCAGCAGATGGCAGTAGTCAAAAATTAAATAACTGACACGAAACCAGACAGTTAAAATCAGACCTTACATTCACTCTATTAAGGGAATCAATTATAAGCCATTCTAAGCAATAGCAAATTCTTTAAAAAAGTTCCCCTTACTGCTTTCAAACACTGTTTCGTTTCTGACTGAGCAGAAATTACAAAAGAAGTGAAGGTGGATTCTGACCAACACTACAGATACGATCAACATCTGGGGGTATCAACTACCTTCATAGAATTCCAGGTATTCAAACAGAAAAGAATCTCAATAAAACGGAAGCTTCCATATCCTAAGGCTAAGCTACACACCTACATTCAAAAGCTTAGCTAACAGAAACTCCAACTGAAATCTCTTGCTTCCAAGTATGCTTCAGTATCAAACTGCCATTACTTTAACTTATCTAATTTTTCGCAGAATTTGGGTTTGTTTTCCCTTTGCACCAGCTCACCTGTGTTACGTCTGGCTGAAGGTCAGCTAAGAGAAAGGAGTGCAATGTATTTTTTACAAGAAGCAGCCAACATTTTGTGTTTCAAGACACTTCATTTAGCCAAACTCATCTGATGGGCTTATGGCTACCTAGAGAACAAACAACTCATGACCGTTTGTTCAACACAGCTTTCCCACTTGGGAAAGCGTCACAACTCACTATGACCACTATAAATACAATCTATACCCAACATATCTATTGAAAAAAAAACAACAAACAAACACAAAAAGTACATTTAAAGCAGATGGATGGTAATAGAAAAGGGTAAAAACTGTGGAAGTTATTAGGTTAGGGACACTGTTTTGTGTCACATTTCTTTAGATAATGAAGTTGCTTTCATATCAAGATAAGCTGGATCATGCAACTACATATTTCAGTCTATGCCAGAGATTACATTAATGAATCTAACTGCCACCAGTGACTTAACATCTGAAGAACACCAGTACCTAATCAGGTCTTCATGTCGCAGCACAAAGCAAATAACACAGTGAGCGATCATGTTTGTACTGACAATTGCATTTATTTACTCTAATTTCAGCATGGCTTGTTGCATCTGCAAGAAATGTCAGTAACCTTAGGGACAGAGACCTTCTCTTCTCTAAACATAGAAGAAATCCACACACACAAAATAACAGAAAGTGTGAACAGTTCAATTACTGTTTACAATTACAGTTCAATTACAATTAGTAGAATTACTTAACACAGACTTATAGAGTTTTCTGCACCAAGGAAATTACTGCCCATGATGTCCATAGACATCAACAAAACAATTTTGAAAACTTGAATGCATCATTAAGTTTCAAAGTAAGAATTTTTGATTTCCTTCAGATAAATGGCACCAACTGCCTATGTTAGTGCAGTTAAGCTCACACAACTGGAAACAGAGAAAAGAAACGGGCATTTAAAAAGCTGTTTGAAAGGTTTTCTTTTAACTGCTTAACAAATTTTCTTTGAAGTTTGGAAGAAAAGACATTCCCTTCTTAAATGGAGTAAGATTACTAGGACACCACATATTCCAAAGCAAAGACTGTGTGTATGCTGCTTGTATCAATACCAGCCCAATACCAGACCAACCTCCACTCAGAGACTGAGTGCTTACTGCTGCTTTCTCGAAACAAAGTTCTTTACCAAAAGAAACTGTCCCCAGCATGGGAAATCAACACATATTTTAAATACTCGGGTTAAGGAAACACTGAGTTGTGAAATATTTTGTGTGAAAAGCAAGCCAGATAGTAACTGCATTTCTCAGTTTGCTAAGCAATAAAAAAACATACCTCTGTAGAACAGTTCACCTTCGTTCCTTCACTCTCCTCAAAAAGGAAAAAATGGACTTAAGAATAGATTACTGCTTAGAGTTATTAAAAATCCAATATAACTATGGAAACTCCCAAGTCTTCTCCAACTAAATGCATTAAAGAAAATCCTCAGTAGGAAAAAAAATAAGCAACAGAAATCAGGAACTTAATTAGTAAATTAACATACTTACTCTGAGCCTGCAGCCATTTCCAAATAAGAAGTATCTGCTGTGTCAACCCCCAGTGGGATCACTATGCTCATGACGTTCGTTTCTGATAAATTCGATTACTACAGAGTCCTATGCATTGGTATCCAAAACACTGGGGCATGCCAGCCACAGTGCTCATTGCAAACATCTAAGTGCATCCACAAACCCTGTGAAAAAAAACAACACAAAACAAAGCCAGATTGAGCCAGATGATTTTAAAACAGACGACTCTATATCACATGTATATCTGACACAGTAATTTAGTGTTGCTTTATGCGAGCAAAAAATGGATAGAAAATTCAGTTTTCTTTTGATATCAAATACACCAACGATGATCTTACGACTCAGAAATACTACAAACTGATGAAAATATAATCATTTAAATTGGTGATCACAAACATTCATTCTTTCATCATACTCCATGACATAACAAAGACTCGCTTCGAAGCAAACATGCTGGACATCAAGTACACTTCCTCACTGGTCCATTCTGTCAGAGCTTATTTGCTTTAACTTTCAATAGTGATCTTGTAACAATTTTTTTTGACCTGTTTCTCAGAAAGCATTCCTGACTTTTGCTAGGGACTTTTTTTAAAGTCAAACCTCCAATGCTTGCAATATAAACTAAATGCCATGAAAGAAAGCCAGAACTCCCATTCTGTATCTCTTAAAACCAAAATAATTATGATGATTACAAATAATTATATGAAATGACATTTTCAATCTCATTTTTATGGATTACTGTCAGAAGACATACACAGCAAGGGGACTTTTTTCAGAAGTGATTTTCTTAAGTGGCAAACAAACAAAAAAAATCAGTAGTTTTCAGTTGTAGAGGAAGGATTCATGCAAGTAAACAAAACCAACCTCAGTTGCTATGGCAGTTATTACTGGTCACCTGCTGCTATTACTGAGTAAGGGGAAAACCAGACAGTACACAGGAGAGCTGTAAACTAGCACTTCTACTCACAGGTTAGTAAACTAATGTGATTTCACATCCTGATGGAGACATGTAACCACGTAATTGAAGCAAAATGCCCTCATCTTCACTACTTGCATAATGAAGAATTGCAAAGTCCTTCCCACAGCAGAACTGCAAGAATCTAGATCACTCAGCATTGAAGCACATGCAGTAACAATACATACAATTCTTCCATCTGACATACACTTCAGCTAAGATGTAACACTACAAAAGCCCAACAATTCTGAGATCCAATATACTTTAACACGCTCCTCCTTGCCAAACACACTGCATTGCCAAGGAAAAACCAGCAAGCCTCGTGGAAAATGGTGCACTTGAAAAAAGGACTTCTCAGAAAAGCAATGCGGGCAAACTTGAATTTGCTTTTGTTGATCAAGTCAGCATCTCCAGAATGACGAATAAAGATCTAAAATAACGAGCATCTCTAAGGGACAGACTGATAGAAAGTCTTCACCCAATACATTTGATCTCATTCATGAAGCCTGACATCTCAACCTGCTTTTTAATGTCTAAACCTCCAATTCACTGCTCCTCAGGAAAGCAGCAGTCACATGTCAGTCCCAATGAGGGGACCTGATCCAGGTCTATATATCTTTAAGGTGTGGGGGGCAGAATGGCGAGGCCAGACTCTTTTCAGTGGTGAGTGGAGACAGGACAAGGGGAAACAGCTGGAAACTGCAGCATAGGAAGTTCTGCACAAATGTGTGCAAGAACTTCTTTACAGTGAGGTGACGGAGCACTGGAACAGGCTGCCCAGGGAGGTGGTGGAGTCTCCTTCTCTGGAGATGTTCAAGACCTGCCTGGATGCCTACCTGTGCGACCTGCTGTAGGGAACCTGCTTTGGCAGGGGGGTTGGACTCGATGATCTCTGGAGGTCCCTTCCAACCCCTACAATTCTGTGATTCTGTGAGTCACCAAGTGCAATGGAGTAGAAAACAATCAGGCCAACCAACTGTTGCTTGAGCAAAGCCTCTTGCTTTCTCCTGGTAAGAAAATGTTTGGGGTTTACTAAGTATCACAAACATCACACTGTATCACTAGCTACCATAAAATTCAGCATCAAAACAAACTGTTTTCACAAACAATCAGTGAGAAAAACTCATAAACCAACAGCAGGTATAAAGAAATAGCAGGCATAGAAGAAACCCTAAATCCCTCTCACTATTTCAGTGAGTGTTCATAGTGTTGCCACAGTTTACTCGCAGGGTAGAAACCCTGCCCTACAGAAACCTCATTTACAACTTACACAAAACTTCAGTTTCCATTTAGTTGCCTTTATCAAAAGAAAACAAGTCTGAATTAACTACTACCCAAAAGGAAATTATCAACTTGTTTAATCCAGGGAAATCAGCTACCACACATTAAGACACGCTGATCCACTGTTATCTTCAGCTGCACCTACGCTAACAAATCCTTAGCATAATACGGATTTTTACTTTACGCCTGTAATTAGAACACTCTAAAAAACAACTTCAGTACGCTACAAAGTATGCACATTTTATAGGGCAGGTAGTGACAGGACAAAGGGAAATGATTTTAAACTAGAAGAGGACAGATTTAGACTAGATATTAAGAGCAAATTATTCACTGTGAGGGTGGTGAAACACTGGAATGGGTTGCTCAGAAAAGCTGTGGCTGCCCCCTCCCTGGAAGCACTGAAGGCCAGGCTGGTTGGGGCTGTGAGCAACCTGGTCTAGAGGGAAGTGTCCCTGCCTACAGCAGGGGTTGGAACTGCAAGATCTTAGAGGTCCCTTCCAACGCAAACTGTTCTGTGATTCATTCTATGTCCAAAAGACACAAAGAGCACCACAGTCTGGGATCAAGGTCTCATCTACAGTGAGGTTTCTCAAACTCAATATAGCTTTCGGTGATGGTGGTCATTTTTTATTTTTTAATGAATTTTCTAAGAACAAAAACAAAAACCACAAAAAAAAAAAAAAAAAAGAACCCACAAAAAAACCCCAACTCACTAGAGATACAATCATAAAAACTATCCAGCAATTAACAACAGATGACAGATTTCAGATGAAGGAAAATTATGTTCTGCCATGTCACAATGAGAAGTACTATCATGACATTAAAATATTTCCAGTATTTTTCATAAATTATATCTGGACTACAAAATTTGGACAGTTCAGAACAGACAATCTAATCATCAGGGTGGTCATTTTTCCTTACCCATCCTAAAAGTCATTGCTTATCCTGTTAAGCTCAATACTTTAAATAATAAATCATAAAACACTATCTGGTACCGTAACACAGCACTTTTCAATTTCAGCATTTATTTCAAGTCCTTACTCTGCCAGAATCCTGGAAATCTGGCACCCATGGCTATCTAAAGAAATTGACATAGGTGCTTTTTACTGAAGGTGCTTTTTACTTTATTGGCATTACTGAAAGAATCTTGGTAATTTCTCCAGGTCACCATTTTCCTCAATACTACCACATCAGTACAGCTTCACTGCGTGAAAAACACCCTATTTGAGAAAATTCTGCATTTATTTAGCTGTAGCTAATCAACTTGCCTTACCCCAGTAATATGACTATCATAAAAAAGATGAATGTTTTTATTTAATCTGGTTAAAACATCTTAACTTGTGCATGGTCCACCTCTTGCAAAAAAAGCCCACACTTTTCCATTTTCACTTAATCGCAGTGCTTTACAATTTCTACAGCAATTCTTCTCCCTAGAGAGCACAAATGACTTTGCTGATTTAATTGCCTTATCAAATAAAAGATACTTGAAAATTCACCACTGCTTCTCACGACTTACTTTGCTCACGATGCCAGAACCAGCATTTTTAAATGAATGGTGCTCTAGCAGAGGAAGCGTAAGAACACAATACATTCCAGATTATTTCATCTGTGTGGCTTCATACAAAGAACATCATTTATGCATTAAACAACAGAAAATAAGTTACACATTATCCCTGAGGTATTGCACTTACACAATATTATTCTGTGGCTTAATGAAGACCATATGTTTCCTTTCTGCTTTGTCCTTCTAAGATCAATTATGTGACAGAAGATGAAAATAGTTTTCATTGGTACATGGAGGAGGAGAGAAAAAACACAACCGCAAGTACAGAGGGTCTGACTCTTCAGTCACAAGTTAAAGGGGTTAAAGTTACACCAATATTTTTGGACCTAATTCTACAAGATTCAAATACCCAAAACAAAGCACAGTTCTGATCAGGTGTTGGCTGAAGGGAACTACAGGCCTCCTTTATCAGCATGTCTTCTCACCCCTTCCCCTTTCATTTGTTTCTTGGGGAACCACCAAAAGCTACACTGAATAGCTCCAGGAAACAAGCAGTTGACAGATCACCCTCACAAAGTGCACTTGAAAATTAAGAACTTGAAATCTAGCCAAACTGTTCCGATGACACCAGCTAGGTTTCACAATCGGCTATCAGCCAGCTATCAATCATCCTTTAAACATAAAGAGTCCAGACAATTTCTTCCATGGTGTTTTCTATGTAGGCTTTGTATTTTAGGTGCTGTTGTTTTGGTTTTTGTTCTTAACATACTTCATACATCCATATATTTTTATATGTAAACTCTTTCAACATCATGTAAACATTTTTCAAGCCAAAGGAAACCAGGCAATACTTGTTGTACTTGGAAAGGTACAATTCATACTGGTATCAGCTACTTGAGCCAGCAGTGTGCTCCTGCATCTCAGAAGGCCAACAGTGTCCTGGGCTCCATCAGAAGACGGGTGGCCAGGAGGGACAAGGAGGTGACTGTCCATCTCTACTCTGTCCTCAAGAGGCCCCATCTGGAATACTGTGAACAGGTCTGGAGCCCCCAGTACAGGAAAGACATGGAGCTGTTGGACAGGATCCAGAGGAGGGCCACCTCCTCTGTGAAGGGGGAGCTGGGCTTGTTCATCTTGGAGAAGGCTACAAGGAGAACTCAAGGAAGCCTTCCAGTATGGAAAAGGTGATTTTTCAAAGGAGAGGAATCAACTTTTTACTTGGGTAGGTATTGATAGGACAAGGGGGAATGGTTTCAAGCTCAAGGATGGAAGGTTTAAACGGGGTTTCAGAGGGAAGTTCTTCACAGAGAGTGTGGTGAGGTACTGGAACAGGCTGCCCAGAGAGGCTGTGGATGTGCCATCCCTGGAGGTACTCAAGGCCAAGTTGGGTGGAGCTCAGAACAATCTGGTCTAATACCAGATCT